CTGCAACTTCCGTTAATAATCTCTTCAAAGATTATATCTCAGCTAATTTTCCGACTAAATGCTTGATATTCACAGATGGTTCTGTATCAACTAACTCGGCTGGTTGTTCTTTCTTTATTCTTGAACTTAATATTTCATACTCAGCTGCACTCCACCTTTCTACTTCTTCTTTTACCACTGAATGTCTTGCCATCGTTAATTTTTATATCTTCTACTTCAATTAATGAATTTGCTATTTTTTCTGATTCTCTATCTTGCCTACTTGCCCTCACTTCTAATCCATTTTGCTCTCATCTTTCTCCTTACATTCTTATTATTAGATCACTTATCTCCTTAATTCGATCCCAAAATAAATCTATTGTTTTTCACTGGGTGCCGGGCCATGCCAGTATATTAGGTAACGAAAAAGCTGACCGTCTTGCTACTTCTACTTCCCCCTTCTTTACTTCTTTACTTCTTCTAGCCATAATATTCCCGCTTCTGACTTTCTTCGCCTCTTTCGACATACAGTTCTTCAAGCCTGGCAGGACAGTTGGGCTACAATAAAATTGAAAACGGTATGTTGGTACCGCTCGATTTCTCCATCCATTATACATTCTCCATGGTTTCATAATCTTGACTTATCCAGAAACATAACTTCTCAGTACTCAAGACTTAGGTTAAGTCATAATCTTCTGCCTAACCATGCATTTCATCTTTCCCTAAATTCCGTTCCCTTCTGTCCCCTACATGATAGTGAAGCTCTATGCGATTTTTCTCATCTTCTCTTTGATTGTTCTGCCCTAATTAACAGCAGAAATAAACTATTCAGCCTCTAGCCTCCCACAATATTAATCCCCCTTCCGTAGCTAATATTTTTAATTCCCGTTCTTCCTTTATTATTATTTCAATCATATCTTTCTTGAGGAGTTCCGGCTTTGTCATTTAATCTCTCATTATTTTATTTTATATTCTTCTATTTACTTATTTATTTACTTTCTCTCATCCTCCATTATTTCAAATAAAAATTTTAATTTAGTAATTCTTTTAGTTGTACTTTTAAATCTGTATTAACAATAATTTTAATAATATTTAATTTTTTCTTTATTTTGAGTATACTAACAATTATTGTCATATTTGTTATACCATTATAACATAGCACTGTTACTGTTATACTTCTAATTCACTTTTTTTTTTCTTTGTTTATAATTGTTGAGCTAAATATTATTTTAATAAACGCTATTAAAAAAAAAAAAAAGTAGCAAGTTGGATCGTAAAATAATAATTTTTTTGTATAAAGATATTTTTAAAAAAATGGGTATATATGTAATATAAATATAAAAGTCTAATATATGTAAGGGAACGGCCATCTAAGTGTAAACATTTAATCTATTAATGATTTTCATTTGATATTAGTCGCAATGGAGTATTGGCTATAGTTGATTAATTCTGTGTTAATTAAATTTTTAATTGTAAGACAGATTTATTTTAAGCCTCTGGGAAAAGGCCAGCAGTCATACAACAGCCACCAAGCTAATGTCAAATGTAATTTGTTTTAACGTTGATGTGTAATGATGATAAATTAAAGTTGTACATGGCCTACAAGTTAAGAGAACTAAAAGTTGTTCATTCTTTACGTGGAGTGAGATTTCAGGGTCCAATGCAATTAAATAATATTTTATAGCTTACAAATGAATTTATTCATTGGTTATAGACTTGTTTTTTCGTGGGAGCGTGGACACCAAGTGGGGTCGATTAACGTCGACAGGTTGCTCTGAGAATATTTACCTTGTTTGCGAGGGAGATAATGTAAAATCATAAAATTATAATTCATTTATTAATTACCACTTAATTGCAAAAGAATATGATAGCTTATTTAAAACTAATTTATAAAGTCAATAAGAAGGAAAACATAATTTATCTTACCTTTTGTTAATTTGCATTTGAACTGTACGAGACATAAATAGTGTAGTCGACATGCAACGAAGTTACTCTTTTTATAAAAAGAAGATTGTTGTAATATATTCGTCACTATTATAATATGAAATAACAGTGGGCTACTCGTGTCCACAATAATAGTTTTTCATTTAAGATTATTAACACTTATTTATAAATTATGTTCATTTGCTTAAAATAACATGATTGTTTTTAAATAAATAACTTAGAGAAATATTTAACAAACACATACTGTCATTTAATCTTATTATATAATAGAACAAGGAAAATAACGCTTTTCTGGAAAAATTACTTAGCGTGCTCGGATTTTCAAAATTTTCTTTTTCAACGAAAGTACTCGATCACCAGACTCCAGGAAATTATATTATATTACACACAATTCAGTCATGAATCAATTATTAGTCACCTTTAAAAATCACTCTTCAAGAAATTTATAAATTATACTTGTCAGCTCTTTTTACTCTTATCTTAATAAACCAACTATTCCAGGAAATCCCCACAAAAGATTAAAAAGACAGTGGTGTCGTGACCTACTTTTATAATTTAAAAAAAAAAAAAAATGTATATGTATCAATCCAACTTATTATCACTATTATTAATATTATGTTCGGACTAATACCTTAAATTTAAATTAATATTCATGTTGAAGTACCTCCGATGGGAGGTCTCTTCACTCAGTCTCTTCTGTCTGTTTTTTTTTTTCTTTTTATGTTATCACTTAAGCTTATTGTTCAATATTGTAACAGATAGCGTAATAATTAAAATTTTGTTAAAAAAAAAAAAAAAATCTTAATAAATAAACACTATGTGTCAACACTAGTCTTAAATGTAAAAACAAACTATATTAACGTTATATAAAAATGATTTGTATATTATCCACATGTATTAATTTATATATTTCATATTTTATCAAATAAACGATATCATTACAAGAATGACTCAATGATATTTGTTTGGGGATACAAAATACTATAAAAGGCAGAGTAATCCTTCTCAGTCAGTGCTGAGGGCTTGGAGGAGTCTGTCTCCAGATATTCAAAGAACTATTATAATCGCGCTCTCGACATCGATACGAAAAGTTCTTAATCATCTTTGTCGAAATTCTCACGTGTTAATTCATGAACTAAACATTTAAGATCGTGTTATTTTGTTATTATTTGATACTATTAAAAGTTATTATAAGAACTAAGAAAAATCATCAGGTAAGATTTCAAATCAATGAAAGCCGATACTTATATTATATTATAACTCAATCATTTAGAATTAATAATCTGAGTATAGAACGTTAAAGCGATAGATCAAATAATTATTTTAATCTTTAAACTTCGATTAACTATTACTAACTAGTTCGTACCTTATACATAATCACATTACATGGTATTCGTGAGATGGCCACCGCCCAGGCACGTAGCCAGAAAATATTTATTGGAGGGGCCAACAATTTTGAGCCCTTGTATCATTTTCCATAATTTGTTCCCCATGAAAAGCTTGTGGGGGGCTCCCTCCACTCTTCCTTAGACAGTATCCCATTCTATGAATCTTACAAGTTCAAAATTTTACCATTGATTGATTAAAAACAAATTGTTTTCGTATAAAGTATACTAATTATTACAGTATTATAAAATCCCAGCACAGGGGGGGTCTCAGCACAATGGTGGCGTGGCATAGTTGGATTAAGTATAATGATATCTAACAGTGATTAAAATCACTATCAAAAAAAAAACGCTTTGATGCAAATCTTTAGATAGTGTTTAATTTTAAAAAATTGATGGATTATTCCAAAAGCTACATGATCTGCTAGTTCCTTATTAATATCCTGATTAAGATAAAGTATGTCTAATGAAAAAGGGATTATCTAAAAATATTATTTCTCATAAAAAATTGTGTTTGACCCCCGCCACTATCAGCAGCTAGTCATCTTCAGTGTTATAAATTTATAAATAGCGATTTCTCGGTACAGTAAACTTTTATCACCGCTTCATCAAAAACGCAGCAGCCATGCAAGCCGCCAAGTATGACTTGATGTCTCAAGTGAAGAAACGGGACGGTCCGTTGCAGTGGACAGATGAGACTCGGACAGCTTTCAGTCGCTGCAAAGAAGCACTTGCCGCTACTACACATTTAGCTCACCCAAAAGTTGATGCTCAACTACGCATCTGCACCGACGCTAGCAACATCGCTGTAGGTGGTGTTCTGGAGCATTTGCAAGGTAGTCAGTGGGTCCCGCTAGGTTTCTTTTCTAAGAAGCTCACAGAAGCACAAAGGAAGTATAGCACATACGACCGAGAACTACTGGCCGCTTACCTTGGCACCCGCCACTTCATCCACATTATCGAGGGTCATTCAACAATTTTGTGCACCGATCACAAACCGCTTACTTTCATGTTTACACAGAAACATGAGAAGTTGGTTGACCGTCATGTACGGCAAATTTCCTTCTTGTCACAATTCATCAGCAACATTGAATTTATACACGGCACTGAAAACATTGTGTCAGATGCACTGTCCCGTAGCGACATCTCGGTACTGGAAGCTGATACCCCGACCAACGACCAGTGGTGGAATGATCAACTGGAAGATCAAGAACTGCAGGGCATTTTGTCGGGCGACAAAAAATGTTCTTTTCTTCTGCAAGTACACCATTCAACAAACGGAAGAACATATGCGGATTTTTCGACAGGCACAGCTCGCACATACGTTCCTGGTAAGCACCGTCAAAAAATTTTTGAAGACTTACATAGTTTGGCTCACGGTGGAAGAAAAGCGACCCAGCGCTNTTCAAAATATTATCAGTAACATATTTTTACGAATATCTACAAATATATACTATATAATATATACAAAAGGACATAAGCAAGTGGGTCAAATGTTGCATAGTTTGCCAGCGGGTCAAGGTGAATCGGCATACAGTTTCTCCAATTGCGCCCTATACACCCGTCGAACGTAGGTTCGGTCACATTAACCTAGACATTGTCGGTCCGCTCCCTCCTTCAAAGGGAAACAAGTATGTGATAACTTGTATTGATCGTTTCACCCGTTGGCCGGAAGCATGGCCAGCAGATAACATGTCCGCTCATACTGTCGCAGTTTTGCTTGTCAGTAACTGGGTTTCGCGTTTCGGAGTACCAGACTTCATCACCACAGACCAGGGACGTCAATTTGAATCTGAGTTGTTCAAAGCATTGTCAATCATCTTGGGAATTCGACACATTCACACATCACCTTATCATCCTCAGGCGAACGGCATGGTTGAAAGGTTTCATCGCACTCTAAAAACTGCCCTCACCGCAAGTGGTACAGTCAACTGGAGTGAAAAATTACCTGTTGTACTACTTGCCCTCCGTTGTACGGTCAAAGAGGACATCAATGCAGCTCCGGCTGATTTGGTATACGGTACGGCACTACGTTTACCTGGCGAACTGTTTCATCAAGCCCCTGCAACAGCCCGCACACCGGATTTTGCCGACAAATTACGACAAAGTATGTCTCAACTGCGACCAACACCGGGAACTGATCACGCCTCTCGTCGTTCGATATTCATCCCGGCTGCACTAGAGCAGGTCAGTCATGTTTTCGTTCGTGTCGACGCGGTTACACCTCCTTTGCAACCGAAGTTCGAGGGACCGTTTGCTGTGATTGAGCGCACACCAAAGACCTTTAAGATTCAGCGAGACAACGGTACAACATGGATTTCCATCGACAGGTTAAAACCGGCGTTTGTTCTGCGTGATGACCCACTCATTGACCACAGTTATTCAGCGCGACCTATGGATTCCATGTCAGCCAAAAAACGTAAACAGGTTCGTTTTTTCCTCCCTTAGGGGGAGTATTGTGGCGACCCCCGCCACTATCAGCAGCTAGTCATCTTCAGTGTTACCGTTTTTATGTCGCGTGATTATTTTATTGTATTTTGTATTTTGTTAAACATTGTTGGTATTCGTCGTGAGTTTTGATTATGTAATCGTCCCTACCTGTGTGCCTTATTAAATGTGATTTTTAAATTAACCGTCCTCCCTGTCTAGTCAGTCACCATTCGATCTCTAAAAGTTTCGTTTGTCGCGTTACCTTGTTTAATAAAGTACGCCTTTATATTTTACCGACAAACACGTGATTTTCTGTTTGCAAATTTTATTTATTATCGTGTATAATTTATTGTAGCTAATATTAAAATTCAAGCTAAATTATATGCAATTAATTACTCTTACGAACTTTATTTATTTGCTTTAAAAAACCATCGTTCTGGAGGACATAACCTCCAAATTGGTGACCATCGACGTGAGTCATTTTAGTTTTCGTTTTTATATTTTATTATTTCGTGCGTTTATTATTCGATATGCGAGATTTACTGTCAGTGGACAATGACACGTTTCCGCCGTCAAATCAACCGGTCGCGCCGCCGCTAGTGGCCCATCCACCGAGGGCACCGACGGATTTCGACACTGCCGTAGCCGCGATTAATACTACGCGTCTTCCTGGTTTCTGGCGGCACTCACCCACTCAGTGGTTTATACACGCTGAGGCGATTTTCAATAACCAGCGAATCAGATCCGATTTGTCCCGTGTCAACCACGTGTTAGCCGCTCTAGACGAAGACGGTATTCGCAACATTTCCGATCTCCTAGGCCCTGAAGTGCAGTACGCACTAGTCAAGGAACGCCTTATCGCTGCGTACGCAGTACCGCAAGCGTCCCGGTTTCGCTCCATTGTACAGCCCGGCGGGTTGGGCGATCGCCGACCGTCGCAGCTGTTACGCGATATGCGGAGTTTGTTACCAGAAGGAATCGGAGACGCCGCATTGAAAGAGTTCTGGCTCCAAAAACTCCCGTCAGCAGTTCTCACTGTAGTCGCCGGTTTGGACGGCAGTCTCGACGAACTCGCTGAACGTGCCGACCGCGTCATGGATGTCAGCAGCGCCAATCGGGATGTTTATGCGCTATCCACATCGTCTGCTCCCGAGCCTGATAGACTTCGGGCAATAGAAAATTCAATTCTGGCACTCACCGCTCAAGTTGCGACTCTTGCTACCATACAAACGAACAATCGTCCGCCGGATCAGCATCGTCGACAACGTTCATCGTTCCGTTCACGTTCCCGGTCGCGATCTCGCGCGTACAACCATAAGTGGTGCATTTATCATAACCGTTTTGGTAACGAAGCAAGAAAGTGTCGACCGCCTTGTGCGTACTCGTCGGAAAACTAGCGAAGGCGGCGGAAACCGTCACTTCCGTCGCCCCCTCGTCTTGTCGTGTGTATGTCCAGGACGCCTGCTCAGGAAAACGTTTCTTGATAGACTCTGGCGCCGAAATTTCAGTTTTACCTCCGATGAAGTGTGCACAAGTGGCGTCTAACATTACGCTCACTGCTGCTAATGGCACAATTATTCAAACATATGGACCAAGGACTCTCCACTTAGATCTCGGGTTCTCACGTTCTTTCCATTGGACGTTCGAGATGGCGGACGTTGCTCGCCCAATTATCGGCGCAGATTTCTTACATTATTATGGACTGCTCGTCGACGTGCGACACAACCGACTCGTAGACCCGCACAGTAACGCCTCTGTCAAAACAGTTTCCGTGAAGAACTTCAAAACGACATTGTTCAGCGTTATATCTTCTTCAACAAAGTTCACCGAACTTCTGCAAGAATATCCTGAGGTCACACGTGAGTCACCTGTGCCCACTACATTTAAACATAATGTGGTACACGAGCTGGTCACTACAGGCCCTCCGCTTTTTGCACGTCCTCGTCGTCTTCCACCAGACCGTGCACAGGCTGCACAAAAAGAATTCAACTATATGTTGAAGAATGGTATCTGTCGACCGTCGTCCAGTGCCTGGGCCAGCCCTCTACTTTTGGTGGCCAAAAAAGATGGATCTTTTCGCCCGTGCGGGGACTACAGACGCCTCAACGCTGTAACACGCGAGGATCGCTACCCGTTACCACACATACACGACTTTACGGCTCACTTGGAGGGAAAGACAATTTTCTCCAAGATAGATCTTGTTAGAGCGTACCACCAGGTACCGGTAGCAGCACAGGATATTCCTAAGACAGCGGTAACCACACCATTTGGTTTGTTTGAGTTTCCTGTAATGACTTTTGGACTCAAAAATGCAGCACAAACATTCCAACGCATTGTCAACGATATGCTTCGAGGAATGAGTTTTGCTTTTGCATATATTTATAAATAAAGTGTTCTGGAGGACATAACCTCCAAAGTATCAATGATACTTGGTAGTTTGTTATCATTTGTTGGACCAGAATTAAAAAAAATTCATCTACAACCACGTTTGGAGTAACTGCTATTTCATTTATTATTACGTCCAGAACGTTATCTTTTTCAAAATAAAAAATCATTTTTATATTCATAGTTTTCTATGAATATAAAAATGAAAATACAGCCATAATAATAACTGTATTACTCAATAGTAATCACAAATGAATAATAATTTCAATGTATATAAGGCCTAGTACGTTATTGATAATTCGTAAAAATAATTGAATTTTAAATTTGGGGGGGCCGGTCCTGGGCTACATTAAATCTAAGGGGGGCCAGGCCCACCCAGGTCCATCCATGTCTACGTGCCTGCCACCGCCTCTTCGTTACCTTAGTGTATTATTACAGGTACTTACCAACTTGGGTCATTTATAATATCTCTATAAGAGGAACCTTAATTATTTCTACTTGTCTTTATTGTTCTAAACCCTCGGACTCTACAACCCCAACACAACCTCGTTGCTCACCAAATGACCAAATCCCCAAACATACATAAACTTGGTCAATATACACAATACACATGTACATCTATTTATATCTTTATTTTTGTATTACTACAATATGTTAAGCCAATATATTAAGAATAAACTAGTTTTCTTCTTGGAAGAAACGGGCGTTCATGAAAATGACAATGGCAAAAAACCAAACTGTTTCTTTGTTACTGATAGTTTTCCTATAATTCTTTTGTCTATTACCTTTCCCCAAATCTTCATACTATGACTCATAAGCTTTATGCCTCTATAATTCTCACACTCCTGTATGCCGCTTTTGCCTTTAAATATCGGCACCACAATACTATTCCTTCATTCTTTTGCCTTTACCTTTTTAATAAAATTCTTCAACCGCCTTATGTCAACACCGCCTAATATTTTCCATACTTCTACAGGCACTTCATTTGATCCTAATGCTTTATTCTTTTTCATTGATGCCACAGTCTCCCATACCTCTTTTTCACTAATTAAATCTACCAGTCCCTCGTTCCACAAGATATCCTCTAATGTTCCTCATTCAGTAATTTTTCACAATACTCTGTTCACCTTTTTTTCACATCATCATCACTCGATAGCACCCTCTTATCAACACTTTATACACCTTATATGGTAATAATCTTTAGACCTTTTTTCTCTTACTTTTGCAAGTCTATAGATTTCTTTTTCACTTTCATTTTTTCCTAGCCTATCATACAACTGTTTATACTCCATACAATCTTCTCTCCTTTTGCTCCTCTGCCATACTTTGAACTGCTTTTTCTTACTCTATGATTCTTTGAACGTCCTCGCCATCAGGTTTTCTTATTTCCTGGCGTTCTACTATTACTCTCACCAACAATCTGTTTTGCTGTATTCTTTACACAACTAACAAATCTATTCCACGCATCATTTATATCTCCCTCGAAATTCCACACCGATGATTACTTAAACCATAAATGATTCCAGTTTTATCTGTATCATTAAAGATATATGTCATGATTGTAATGATTTGCAATAGCTGCTAATTCATCATCACTAAACTAATAATTAGGTAGATCAGATAATTCTAAAAGCTCTAATATTTCAAAAACAGAAGTTACTTTTTCATCTTTTCCATCATTAAGTGCGTTTATAATTTTGTTTAATCGTGTTTATAAGTGAATTATGTTCTTCAGTTTTCCAATCATTAGTAATATATTCATTATTATAATGACATATTAAAATATTAATACTAGTGTTTATAAAAGTCGAAAAAATCATTTGTTTAATTATGGTCCATTCTTTTTTATCTAAGCCTGATGCTATTCTAGGCATTGCTATATGTGTATCATGATGTTTTATCATTTCAATTTTTAAGTTAATTAAAGCTTTTTCAATATTTATGTATTCTGGCTTTTCAAAATAATAATTTTTTGTAATTAAAAAAAAAATTACTCTACCATTAGCACAAACTGGGATAGCATCACCTATTTTTGGTGATGTTGTTAATATTGCAATTTGATCTGATTGTGAGGTATCAAAGTATGTGTTATGCAACATATATTTGATCCTGTGTCAATCGTTATAGGTATTTTAATATCATTAAATAAAGCATAAAATTGTAAAGCGATAGGCATGTGTTTAGTGTGTGTTATGTTATTGATAATTTTGTGTGGTGCTTTAAAAGGTAAACTGTTTCGTTCAGCACCATCGTTTAACCTAGTATTTAGTTTTTTGGAAGTTCTTTACACCTTAAGGCTGTGTGTCCAACTAAATTACAAATTTGGCAAATTCTTTGATTATTTTTGAAAAAGCAATTTGACGTGTCATGAGAATTACTATGACATATATTACAATTAAGATTTTTTGAATATTGAGTTTGTTTATTTAAATTAGATTGAAAATTATTACTATTTTCATTATAATTGTTTCTTTAAAGTTTATAATCAGTTTGATTTTGACTGAAAGTATATCTGTTTTGTATGTTAATTGGATAGCGGTTTTGATTAGATGAAAAATTATTGTTGTTAAAACGCGCTTAATAATTTTGATTATTAGGATTATTTTTGTAAGAAAAAGCATTATTATAAAACTGATTGTTATTATTTTGTAGACTATAATTAGCTTTAAAATTATTTTGTAATTTGTTGTTAAATCTATTATTTTTTTGNTATAATTAGCTTTAAAATTATTTTGTAATTTGTTGTTAAATCTATTATTTTTTTGTGATCTATTATTATTATTATTATTATTATTATTCATTGCTGACAAATTATTAAATCGCGAATTGTTTTGATGTTGATTATTGATCGGCATTAAGTTAATAAATTTATTATAAAATTGTTCTTGATTTTGTTTTAAACATTGAAATTCCTCGGTTAATTTTTTAATATTATCATTTTCATTATTTTGAGTTATTTGATTGATTTCTTCATTTATTATAGACTGTTTTATTTCAGATGGGCTTTTAATTGTTTCTCCAGTGATCATAAATTCAACCATTTTATACTTATGAATATTTCTTTTTAACTCTTCTAAATTGCAATTATCAAGAATACTAACATATCTAGAAATACTTGGTTTAAGATCTTTCATTACATTTCTTACTAATTCAGTCTCCAACATAATACTATCAATTCTCTTACATATTACTATCAATTCTCTTACATAAAGCTTCCATATCATTAATATAAGCAACCGTTTATTCATCATCTAACTGTTTTCTTTTTTCTAACAAAATACGTAACATATCATATTGAGCAATAGGTTCAAATTCTTCTTTAAATTTCTTTTCTAAATTATTCTAAGGTAATTTTTTTGATTCAATATTATCATAAAAGGAAAGAGCTGCACCTTGCAAAAATGCGACTAAATATTGCGGTTTATTAACATCAGACCAATTATTAATTAGTGCTGCTCTATTAAATGTTTTTAAAAACGAGTCTACGCGTTCGTTTATATCTCCCGAAAAGGTAGTTGGTTTGAAAAATAAATTTTTATTCATGTTATAATTATTAATTACTTTAGATGAAACTTGATCAGTATTGTTTTTATGATTTAAGTTTTTTGAAGAAAAATGTCAAAATAATCCTATTTTTAAGTCTGATACTGTACCAACAGTTGTTAATTTCCTATTTTCAAGTTCTTTAATTAACTCAAGTTTTTTTAGTGAATTTATCCACTCTGAAGTTTTTTTATATTCTTCTGGGTCTCCTTCTATTACAATCTTTTCTATTTCCTCTGACATTTAGTCAATTTTTTGAAATAAAAATTTTATCTATATTCACTTTTTGTTTTCCTTTAAACTCAGGTATTTTCCTCTGATTTTATTTCACTATATAATTGAAATATATATATTTTACTCGAATAATTTTAATTCACTTTTTTAGTTCAAGTGCTTTTTATTCTCAATTCTTATTTAATACACTTTTTTAATTTAATATACTTTTAATTTAATTCACTCTTTATTCAAGTATATCTTTTATTCTCAATTGTTAAAATTCAATTCTCAATTCAATTTACTTTTTATTTCAGTAAATATATATATATATATTTCATTCTCAATTTTTTAAAATTCCTTCAAAGTTCTTCAGAACATTATTTATATTTTCAAATTAATTTTAAATACTCATTTTTTCTTTATATCAATAAAATTATTTTTTTATTATTATTTTTTTTTTGGTATTTCAAAGTTACAAAATTTTTATAACTTTAATGCTTTGATTTTTCTGAGTCATTTTTTTTTTTTAGAAAACCCTTAGTAAAATTTAACTAAGCTCGTTTTTGGACGTCACTTTGTAGTAATACAAAAATAACAAAAGGTGTAACACATAAATAAATCAAGTTGAAATACTTATTGGTGAAAAACAGTAACAATATTGTATTCGATTGCTTATTATCTGACTTACCTTTCACAATAATTAAACACGTATATTTATTAAACACATACATATTTTTGTTTTCATTTAAAACTATTTCCAAAAAATGTTAAGTACAATATATACAGGTACGGTAATGACTATTGTTGGCAGAAACTAACAACACGTGTTTACTTACATGAGATCACTTAATTAACTGAGAGTAAAATCTGTCTTTATAAGTTATTAATAAATTGTGAATAAATAATTATTGCACTGGAAATTAATGATAAATTTACGATGAAAGTAAAGTTAACATGAGAGTTGCAAAGAAAAATTAGAATAATACGTATAACAGTCACTGCTAACTGTAGATATACAAATAAAACCAAATTGGCCGAAAACTGTATAGTGAGTAAGACAAGAGAGGGGCTTCGTTGTCATCCCAACTTTGTGATGTTTGCTAGATGAGAGGTGACAACGGTAGACACCTGATGGGAATGACTGATCAATTGATAGTTGATCAGTTATTTACCGGTGAGGGTGGAAGATCAAATTAAATTAAGAAAAAAAACATAATTAAAGGAAATTGAAATTATAAACTCTGAATAAGAATTTATCGTACTATAATTATTATATTCGATTGCCATCTTGCAACCCTATTGAGGATCTATGGATAAAATAAAAATCGCGATGGAAAAATAGGGGTTGATCGTAGGATGAAAATGTAGGGTTGTATGTATTTTTGAATTCTATATCATAAAAAAATATAAAAAATTTTCAAAAAAAAAATAAGAGGTGCACCACCCTTAACATTTAGGGGCATGAAAAATAGATGTTGACCGATTCTCAGACCTACCCGATAAGCACACAAAATTTCATGAAAATCGTTCAAGCCATTTCGGAGGAGTTTGGCAACAAACACCACGACACGAGAATTTTATATATTAGAGAAGATGTAGTTTTCACTAATAACATGAGATTTAAAGATTATTTTTAAGTTTTTTTGCCTACCTGTTGTTTTAAATAATAATTAGTAGGTATTTTATATAGTATAATTATGAATACACCTAAGTATTTTTTAATTTTATAATAATTTTTTTAATTATTATTTAATTTACATGTCGGACTAGTTTTCTGGTTAACTGCTTTTGATGTTATACTTTTTTTGCACATCACATATCGTGACAGGTGTAACCGGGTACTCCTACCGGAGAATCAGTGGCCTACCTGTAAAGACAGCCCGCAGGACAACGAGTCTAGTGCAGAGCCTTAGCTAGGCAAAGCGTAGTTACAACATATCATAAATAATTTTACCAAAAAATGGTTTACCTTAATTTCATTTCACTTAAGTAAGAGAACTGCTTTTATTATTACATAATATATAGAAGAGTAAATTTAGAATACATCCTATTAACGCAAAACTACGAATTACAAGTTGTATATTGCAGGAAAGTATATTAAGGTTGTCGACATTTTTTTCATATATATTACACATTTATAAATTAATATATAAAAAAAAAACAATTATTTAGTTTAACTTGAAATAATTTATTAATTAAAAGTTTTTTTAACTATATAATCAATAATAAGTATAACCAAAATATAGCTATTATTATGATTTTGGCATTTATATAATAAATCGCGAAAAAACATATAACATTAAAAATTATTATAATGAATAACAATAAAAAATTTGTAAAAATCAAATGTTCAAAATTTAAATTAAATATCAATAAATAACTAAAACAAAGCTAAATAAGTAAAGGAACAATGTTTTTACAGAATGAATATAAATCATTTTGTTTAAATTTACATTGTTTTTTTTTTTGTAAATTAATTATGCTTGTTGTTTTGGAAGATCAGCAATGCGTTCATGGGGGGCTGGTAATTTTTCCCATGATGGTTCAACACCCCAAATTTCTTTAGCATATTCAGTAATGGTACGATCTGAAGAGAATTTTCCAGATGATGCAATATTACGAATGCACATTTGTGTCCATTTCGTTTGATTCTGAATAGTTATTAATATTATAATAAATAATAAGTAAATGGTAAAAGTACAAAAACATTTTAGGAAAAATTAATCTATATACTTACCATATATGTTTCATTAACTTTATTCTGAGTTTTAACGTAGTCTTCGTAATCAGCTAACAAGAAAAATCTAAAAAGAAATTATAGTTAAATATACTAAAATAACATAACTATAGAAATATTATTTATACCTATCCCATTTAAGAAGAACATCTACTACGTCTTTGAATTCGTCTGGATTATTAGGGCTGAAGTAACCGTTTTGTATTTGGTCAACACATTGTTTGAGTTCAGGGTTAGATTCGTAATACGAATAAGCATTGTATCCTTTCCTTTTTAACAATTCTACTTCATCAACAGTCATTCCAAAAATAAACATATTCTCTGATCCCATTTCTTCTGCCATTTCCACGTTAGCTCCATCCAATGTGCCAATAGTAAGGGCACCATTTAACTAATAAATTAATCAAGATTTATTTAAAATATGTACATCTATCGAAATATAACGTAAAAAATTAACCATAAATTTCATGTTTCCTGTTCCAGAAGCTTCGGTACCAGCGGTAGATATTTGTTGACTGAGATCAGCAGCTGGTATTATTTTCTCAGCAAAAGTTACTCGGTAATTTTCTAAATACAGTACTTTCAAACGATCTCCAACCACTGGGTCATTGTTTACTACATTAGCTACATAATTGATAAGTTTAATGATTTTCTTAGCCATATAATATCCTGGAGCAGCCTATCAACACATTATATAACTAGTATATGAAATTAATAATAGAGTTAAATAAAAATTATTTGTACTTACTTTTCCACCAATCATTACGGTTCTTGGAACAAACTCACCATCAGGATTTTTCTTGATTCGGTTGTACTGAGTAATGATGTGCAAACAGTTCAGAAGTTGTCTTTTATACTCGTGAATTCTTTTCACCTACATAGTGTATTATAACTTATTTAAATAGATCAAAATTTAACACATTACTTATGTTTATAAGGTTAAAATATTTGATTTACTGCGAATTATAAACTATGAAAATATACTTATATACCTGGATATCGAACAAAGAGCTAGGATTGATTTTAACGTTGTATTCACTTTCTAGCCAATGTGCAAGTTTCATTTTATTTTCTTGTTTAACTTTTTGTACATCCAATATGAAACTCTGATCATCAACCAGTTCATTAAGTTTCTTCAATTCATCCAAGTGAGTAATCCAATTATCACCAATTCTCTATATAAGTTTATTATTTATTATATATATTATTAATAAGTGTAGTTTATAATCACATGTTAATTGGTTAATTTTATTTTTAATGGAAGATTTATTTATGTTAATCCTACCTCTCCTATAATATCAGACAAGTTTGGATTACAGAGTAATAGCCATCTACGGGGAGTGATACCATTTGTTTTATTTTGGAACTTTTCTGGCGTAAGCTCGAAAAAGTCTCTAAATCTGAAAAAAAAATTAACATTGCTTAATAATTTTTCTCGTTTTTTCTTATTTATAAACTAACTAAACTCTAGTTGAATGTTATAATTAATTTGCATTGTTTTAATGTAAATTAAGTCATTAAGTAACTTTAAAACTTAATAACTTAAGTTTACTAAAATGGATTACATATGTATATAACATATGTAATGCATTTTAGTAAATTTTAAGAACCATTAATGCGTACATATCATTTTTAATAATGTCCGAATGAATACGAGCAACCCCATTAACAGCATGGGATCCAACAATCGACAAATGTGCCATATTAACTCTTTTGTCACCGTCTTCTTCAATCAAAGACATACGCTTCATACGTGCAATATCACCAGGCCATTTCTTTTGAACTTCCTAAAAAAATTCTAGTTATTAAAAAATGAACGTAATTTTTTAAGTAAATAATAATATTACTTGTAAGTGCAAGAAATTAATGTGATAAATAATTTGCATGTGTCTTGGTAATATCGAACCCATTAATGATACAGACCATCTCTCCATTGCTTCAGGCAAGACAGTATGGTTAGTGTAAGCACAAGTTTTTACAGTAATATTCCAAGCAGTATCCCATGCCAAGCCTTCAATATCAATTAGTATTCTCATCAACTCAGGAATAGCTAAAGATGGATGAGTATCATTTAATTGTATAGCCACTTTATCTGGAAATTCTGTAAAGTCTAACCGTGATTGACATCCAGGTTTTGAAGCTTTAAATCTTCGAATAATATCCTAAAATTATAAGTTAATTATAAGAATGTCCATCGGAATATGAAAAAAATATATAATAATTACTTGTAACGTAGCTGAACACATGAAGTATTCTTGTTTCAGACGTAATTCTTTGCCTTCAAATGAGTTATCGTTAGGATACAAAACACGAGTTATATTTTCTGCCAAATTTCTATCCAGAACAGCTTGAATATAATCTCCATCATTGACTAAATTAAAAAAAATACATTAATTTTATTTACTTATCTATTAAATGTATTTGATTACATACAAAATTTCAAGTTAAACTCGACAGGGGATTTAGCAGACCACAATCGCATAGTATTCACAATATTATTTTGATAACCTGGAACTGGACTGTCATATGGCATTGCAAAAACAACCTATATTGTTAATAAAAAATAATAATTGGCATGGATAAGTAGTTTATTTTTATTTGCATACTTGAGTGTCTATCCATTTCTTTCCTGTGGCTGTATCTAAAACTTTTCCAAAAAAATGAATTGGTAGCATATATTCAGGTCTAGCTTTTTCCCAAGGATTTCCAAAACGTAGCCAATCATCTGGTTCCTCAACCTAAAGTAAATTTTGTAAAAAAATTATTTACTCACTCTATATTTTTTCATTGTAAAAACTTACTTGTTCACCATTGATAATCTTTTGAGCAAATATACCATATTCATATCTTAAACCATATCCATATGCCGCTAATCCCAAAGTGGCCATTGAATCCAGAAAACAAGCAGCCAATCTTCCCAAACCACCATTTCCTAAACCTGCGTCTTCTTCAAGATCTTCAAGTTCTTCAATATCTAATCCCATTTGATACAATGCTTCATCAACACTACTTTGAATTCCCAAATTGATCATTGTGTTTTGTAAAGAACGACCAACCAAATATTCAAGAGACAAGTAGTATATACGCTAAAAAACGATAATTTATTAAAATATTAAACATTTTATTTGACTAAAATTTATTAAAAATAAAATTATACCATCAAATTCTACTAAAAAGTATTTTTTATAATTTAATTTAAATAAAAATCATTTTAAACATCGTATTAAATTTTATGGATTAAGGACGTAATAGAGAATCAATTTTCAGCTGAATAAATTAATAAATTATTTTTAGGCTTTAGATATATTGGAATAATGAAAGATTCGAATCCTTAATTTTATACAATAATAAGGATGACGCAAAATAATACATCAAATCGTTAAGACTATTTAATAATAATTCATAATATATAGTTTTACTAGTAGATGTTCAAAAACAGTACGGTATTTTCAAAAATATCGTAAAAAGTCATCTTCTCTCGCAAAAATAAATGTTTGTACTGCTTCTATTTGAAATCTCTGAGGGGTAGGTATAAAGTGTAACAATATTAAATAGATGTTTGTTTTTCTTAAGTCTAATTTCTCGATTTTCGTTTGTGCTGAGAAATGTTAACCAACTATTGAAAAATAAGACTAACTAAAATGATTAAAACGTATACGTTAAATCATTTAGCTTTATACGAATTATAATAGTGATATTTTTCATGTAGTATAATAACACGAAATATAGAATGTTTTAATAGAATTTATTTTATTAATAAATAATATCTAATAATTAAAAAAAAAAAATTAATTAATAAAATAAACTTGATTCTAAACACGAGTTTTTTAGAGTTGTATGTTACATTATGTGACTTAAAGTCATTAACTGTAAGGGATAAAATTGTAGCAATTATATAATAAAAGAAGTAATATAAAATTGAAAGCGAAAAATGAAAAATATTTATTTTTATAAAAAATAATATTCAAAATCTATTAATCTTGAAATTAAGTTTTAGTTAACTTAACGACTAAAATGATGCACTAAAATATAAAATTAATAAGATTATAAAAAATATATAGCTCCTAGCTATGTTAATGTAATATTATATTATTACATATAATATTAATATATAATAAGATGTTATCATTTGTTCATGTATGTCACATATTATGATTATACAAGATCACCAAAACAGGGTTCTCTTATTTAAAATACAAAATAACCCTTTAACTATACGATAAAATCTCCCTCTTGTAGAAATTATTAAGTAACGCCTACACGCTGGTACCCCATTTTAATTAAGCAATTAGAATACAAAGCCTCAGCTCCTAGGATCACGGCAGAGATCGCTGGGCTACCCCCTTCACACTATAAAAAGCCATTTTCCCCCATCTAAACCAGTTCTTTTGACGATTTTAAAATACACAAAATCTACGACACTCTACTCAAGATTTCACTCTCCGGGACTTAGTTGATTTTTTAATTAATTTGAACTTAGAATATTTTTCAATTTAAAAACACTTAGTCGATTTTTAATTAATTTGGACTTAGAATATTTTTCTTTAAAACTAAATGACACTTAGAAATTTTAAAGTGAATTTTGTTTTGGTGAATCTTTTAATTTAATTTAATTTGTTCAATCATTAATAATATTTTATTTTTCTTGTTATGAAAATAAACATCAAATAATATTTTAAACATTATATCTTTTTTTAAATTATTTTATTTTAACAATAAATCCAACCTAAATTTAGATATTCATTTAATAATAAAAATTTATTGTGAGCTTTTCTTATTGGGTAGCTAGTCTCGTTGCTAATGTCTTTGTTTTAACAAACATCGCGCCGGCAGACAAAGCTAAAGGTCACAATCTTCTCAATTTAAATTGAGATTTAAATTTATTTGACTAAGTGTATTGCAACTCTATACTTATTGGGTAGCTAGTCTCGTTGCTAATGTCTTTGTTTTAACAAACATCGCGCCGGCAGACAGAGTAAAGGTTGCAACTAGACATTGTTCTAGAATTAGGTATATTAGGTTAGAATATATTTGTAAGCCTATGCGTATTGGGTAGCTAGTCTCGTTGCTAATGTCTTTGTTTTAATAAACATCGCGCCGGCAGACAACGCAGAGAAACTTACGAATATATTTGGTGTTTAATTTTTGTCTTGGTTATTATTGTGCCGCATCCTTTCAAGGTGCTTTATTTTAGCACCGGGACACATTGGGCCACCACAATTCTGCCTTGATAAATTTTTTACATAGATATAGATATTTCTGAATCTTGTTTTGGCCAGGCCAGAGGAAAATTTAAGAAATATTGGTATCGATCTCTCAATAAAAAAAATATACTCTCTAAAAAAAAATATTTATTCAATAAACGTAAAAAAATCAAAATTGTTTTTATAATAAAATACAGAGTGTTTAAAATCTTTTACAAGTAAGATCAGTCTTAGACTTTGTGTAATTAAATCATATTATTTAAAGTCTTGAGTCGTTTTTTGTAATCAATTATATAGACTATATTACATATAGTGTAAATCGTATACGTAGTGCGTTTAATACAGAAATCAACACTGGTTTACTTAAAATATTATTGTATCACACAGGACGTAAGGTAAGTACAATTTAACCTATGCTTTCGAACTTCCAACAATCTATTGCGTGATAAACCATTAATAATTAATGAGAGAAACAATTAATGAGAAAATTAATTTAAATAAAATTGAAGACAATTAAATCTACATTAAAATTACAAAAACTTATAATAAATAATGATTATAATAATTTACTAAATAGTACTACCAATTTCTCTTTATATTTAACCTACGCTTTCTCATTTCTATATCTCTATTTTTCCATTCCTATTTTCTTTCTTTTTATTTTTGGTTTATTACATTAGCTACCAAATTTTAAAAGTTTTATCATAGCGATAACCTACACAATGATAAATGAACACCTGCGACCCTTCAACCTTCCAAATCGAAAAACTCAAGATAAAAAATTGGCACACATTATGGTTAACAAAATCGGTAGTATAATTTTCTAAAATGTTGAGTAAACTACTACAAGTTCATTGTTTTAAGTAATTTAAAACTACAAATAAATCATATAACAGATAAATTGAAATATAGGTTAACTCATACAATTAACACTTAGAATTTTTACATTTAATCAAAAAGCCATGACTACATCTAAAGTAATACTTCATACAATACATATAAACTGTTTAATACATAATTTTTTAATGATTTCTTTAATTGTAGAAATAAATTGTTTTTCGTTTTATATATATTTAATAAATAAAATGTGGAGCATTTACTAGTTAAGTATTATTTATACGAAATTCGTAATTGAAGAATACTTTACTTTATATTCTAAATAACCTAACTAAAAGAATATTTCAGTAACTTCTATATCAAAAAGAGATACATTTAATGATCTATTTTAAACAAATCAAAAACATTAAAATATTTATAACAATAATTGAGTAAATGCTTTCGGTAAATTTAATTCTTGTTAATTATGTTTTTATGCATAACACACAAACAAATATACTTCCGTATAAGCCCAACAATCTGTAATTTAAATGTAAAATATCTACAAATTAAAATAAATATTTTTCATAAAATTTTTAAAAAATATTTAGAACTATAAAACATAGATTATAGTTATTTAATGTTTACATTTATTTTAAAACAGCCTAATATTTTAAAAACAAATTGACTTTTTAAAATTACGAATAACAAATATTCATTAGTCTTAATTACTTATTATTAAAGTAAATCTTACCTTTGGATCAATCTCATAATAATGTTGTTGTGTTCGAATCCATCTAGAAGTCAGATTATCTCTGACCATATACGCAAGGGCAAAAAAATAATCTCTAATTGTCGCTACATTTCTATCTTTGACTAAAGTAAAGTGCAAGTGCCTATTAAATGATTTTTTAAGTGAAGTCACATCTTCTAATCCAGCGATGGAACGTACACTGATTTGCTTACGAAGTTGATCAATATTAGACATAATGACAATTTATAAAAAAAAAATATCTATTTATAATCACGTTATAATGATCTCTTTAACGACAATGACAGTATGAACGTCAGCGTGAGACCAACACTGAACAGTTGACTACTAGCTTAATCTTGTATTTAGTGAGACAAATATTTTTCTAAGCTATTTGTAGCGGTCAATTACGACAAGACCTGTGTACCGCCATTATGTTATACCATTTAAGAAAGGTAATACGAACAATGTAAACAGTAAATATTTGCCTCATTCAGTTTTTAAAATATTAAAAATAATCAATAAAAATTACGATATTGATACTAAATTAACTTTGAAAATTTGGCATGTAATTTTATTTTTTGCTCGCTAATGTTCGAGTGCCATAATATACTCTTTACAACGGAAGTATAATTAGACTAATTTTACATTCATGGCCAACAACGCACAGTATAATAATTACACATTATAAAAAAGGCCTTATTTTAATTTAAGTTTTTTAGAAGATTTATAAAACATTTAATATTATAAAATTTATGATAACGTTATAAATTGTTTTTTTTCTTGTGAAAAATCATATTTATAGTAGTTCGGTTTGTTACACACTTAAAATGAAAAACTACCACAAAGATTGTAGGTTTAAGTTTAAATATAAAATGATTATCAATTTTTTATGGAATTTAGGGTATAAATTTTTATATCCCTGAAAATGATATTTATATAAATAACTTATCCTCATTGAAAAAAATAAAATTAAGTGGTAAGTCTTTGTTGACATATAAGTCAGCAAACTTAAATTTGAATTGATAATGTGAAAAAAATTAGGGTTTTTTTAAAGAAAAAAGTAAAACTTAAACATTTCGTGGTACAATTTTCATATCGACAAAAACTGATAAAGTCGTAAAAATATAATTTTATTAAAACTTTCATTGACTTGAATGCATTAACTGAAGAACTAATAACACATGCTCAACATTTTCATGTAAATTATATAAAAATATATAATTATTTACAATTTTGTACTTATCTATTTTATTAAGTCATGTAATACCTGTTCTTTGCATCCAAGTTAAAATTAAAAAAAAAAACTAAAAATCCTATGAGAATTCAGGATAATAACTATTTAAAACGTGGTACACTACATAAATAAAAATCGAATTGAATTTTGTTTCAAACGGATAGTTAAAATTTAATAAATTCTGAATTTATAAAAATTGTGCTTTGTTTACTGATACGTACACAAACATTTTTCTAATACATTTTTTTAATAAATTTGATATAGTATAAATATAAGCATATTCCTTAAATTTTTCAAAATCATTATTAATAAAAACGACTAGTATTACCTGAATTACACAAAATTAAAAATATTTAATAATATCAACAATATTTTTAGTGAGACTACGTTTTCTGGTATCATTGGCAGGTATTATTTATCAATATAAAACACTGAAACCTCCTTTAACAAGGTTAAAAATTACTATCCCAATATTTTTCCTGATAATGACTAAATTTAAAACTTTGTTATAGACAAGATAAGTAAAATTTAAAAAAATCATAAGTAAAATCACACTAAAATTATTTAACCATTTCTTATCTAATTATCATTTTAGAGAGTTGATAGAATATCAAAAGTATTAATTATTAATCTATAATTATAATATTACACCGCTAATATGAAAGATTCTTCTTCTTTTTCCTCGCCTTTACCCCAACTACTTGAGTTCAGCTACCCTTATCCTAAACTTCCACTTGACACTACTACGAAAAATATTTATTAAGTTAACTATTTATAACAAAAAACTAAAAAATTGATACTCTAACTGTTTAAATCAGCGGTTATTCTCTAAAAATTGATGTCAATTTTAAAAAATTTTCAGAAAAGCAAAATTAATAATAATTATTATTTACATCCTTATATTTTCCGAATGTTAGGGAGTCAAAGAAAGTTCTTGCCTAGACCAATGATGGACGGGACGGATATTATGGCCGACTGGCACCAGAGACCAGGCACCCATCAATGAGAAAATCACAAGAAAAATCTCGCCGACACCCTCAGAAATGCAAAAATAGACTTAAAATTAAAATGAATGCATATTGAATAACAAATTCAAGAATTGTCTTAACTTATTTTTGAAAAAAAATATGACTTGAGATAGCTTACCTCTGGTGTACTGAAAAAAAATTATTTTTTGAGTATAAAATACAGAGTGATCGGTTTATCATAAACCACTCGATTACTTACAAAATAATATACAATATTGAAAAAAATTTTTGGTTTTTTTAGTTACTTATAATTTTTGATTTATTAGCTATTAATTTCTTTTTAGGATTATCCCTTATAATTTTATAGGGGTATCAACTTTATTTTTTTTAATGATAACATACAGGTTTAATTAATTTATAAAATAATATATTATCTAATTAAGAATATGACTGATTGATAACAATGTTTGGACCAATATTTTGCAAGAATTCTCATTTTTATATATAAGTGGGATGAAGAGTACACTACCGGGAAATGACTGGTGATAAAAATATCAGCAATCGCTCCTCACCACCAGTCATTATTAAAAATTTCTGAAATACTGATGTAATGGAAAGTTGTTGTCATATTATTAATTAGATTATTTTCTAATTTATAGGCTAGTTAGATATGTATGTTGCCATTAGAAAAAATAAAGTTGACACCCTTAAAAATTTAAAGGAATGATTCGAAAAAGTAATTTATAGCTAAAAAATCAAGAAATATATGTAACTAAAAACAAAACAAAAATTGTGTTTCTCATTATTGAATTTATTTTGCAAGTAATCGTGTGGTTTATGATAAACTGATCAGTTGTATAAATGCATAAAACTAATGTGTTTATATTAATCATAATTAGTTTGTTTGAAATGAATGTCCTTAATCATTTTTATTTAGCATTATAACTTAAAATATTTAAAAAATATATTTAATGACTTAAGAAATACAATAAAGATAACAATTAGAAATCAACATAGATATTTCATGAAATTTGACATTAAGAGAATGCTATTTCTAGATAGTGTACTATGTATTGATAAGTGAAATAAAATGGTATTACTTTAGTTGACAACGTTTCACCTACAACAATTATAGCAGAAAATACATGTCAATGAGACAACTCGCCTGCATAATAACCCATTATTACGTGACTTAAAAAATAAATGACAATAAAACTTATCTTAAAATTTTTAATTTTTCGAATATCGTGCTTAAAAACAATTGGAAATAAATTCATGAGATCACTTTTCTGTTGCTTATTCACATAGGTTTATGTATATAAGTGGAGCTTTTAATTTCAGTCCATTATTACTAATTTTATTTTAATCAGTGATTAAATATTTTTATTCTCAAATAACTTATATTAAATAAATATATAATAATAATTATTGTTTCTATTAATGTCTAATAAAATTAAATAAGTTGTATTTCTCCAAGGAATAAACATTAAACAAATTGTATGTATATCTATCAATAACTTTTTAAATATGTAAACAAAAAAAACAATTATATTAAGTATTCATTTTAAGTTATTTTAATAAAACTAAGGCTAAAAAATCAACACTAGGCTGATTTGTGTTTAAACAAATTCATGATTACTTTAAATTATCACACCTAATTTAAATTATAAACCTTTATTAAGTAGACTTTTTGTAATAAGACTATGTAATTATTATGAATTTTTAGTTGCATTAAATTAAGACTAACCTTTGGGTTAACAGCATATTGGTGTTGTTGAGTCCGTATCCATCGGGAAATCAAACTATCCCTCACAGAATGAGCCAATGCATAGTAATAATCGCGAATAGTGGCAACGTTTCTATCCTTGACTAGGGTAAAATGAAGATGGCGGTTAAAAGTTTTTTTCATAGCCACCACATCTTCAACGTCTGCGATAGACTTCACACTGATTTGCTTCCGTTTCTCTACCTTGGGTTTGTTATTTACTATAACCATAGTGCCTATTAAAATATAATATGTTTTGAATTAAAAAAAAACTATTAATGAATAATTGTTCGTAAAAAAGTTAACCGCTTAACTAAAGAGCCAATAATGAACTGAGAGTAATGACCGGTTTAACAATCATGGAGATCTGACTAGAGGCCCCTAAAGTTCCGTATTGAGATAAGCCGTCTAATTGATCCGATAAACAACGATCATCCAACTATAATAACGACCGCTTGCATATATACATCTAAGTTATAGAATATGTTGTGCTAGTATTTTTAAAGAGAAATAACGTCGGTTATCCTACCGTGTTATTCTTATATCTAATCTTAGACCTGTATTGTGGTAATGTACGAAGCGTTCCATGAACTTATAATTTAAAATAGATTTATGTAAGTCATGTGATAAACCATGTGAGGACAAAGATCAAGTATTTATTACAACCTGTGTGAATTCCACCAATTTTTACTTAAAATTACTTAAATAATTATAGGAAAGTATATTATTAAATTCGTTTATTTTTGATTTCTTCATATTAATATTTTGTTGGGAATTTTACTTATATATATGTTTACTTAACAAAAATAATAGGCGATCTCGAATAGATTATTGGAAAAATGTTGTCTTAAAGTTAAAGCATAATTTAAAATTGTAAAATAATTCAATACTCTATCAAAATGTGTCTTATTTATATAATATATCTATTGAAATAATTAAACCTGCTATAATGCATTTAATTATTAAATATAATTATCTTAATTGTACATTTATCTCAAGATATGCACTTATGTAATATTAAACGGCCAACATACATTCTAATTATTGAACTTTTGACATTGACATTATTTTTCCCCGCTGTTATAAACAATATTCTTTACGCATTTATTAAATATTACTTCTCATTACCTGACTTTATAACATTATTTTATATTCATGTAAATTAAATTCTCATATTAGTTTTGTGTAAAATCATATTTTTTGTATCATGTCGTTGTTATAGCAAACAATCGACATATAAAAGATATTAATTTTTACAAAATTATAAATACAATTATTTTCCACAACTATATAATTTATTTTTATCGTATAATTATCTATGTAGTATAATTAAATTAAATATTAGTATTAGGTTGGATGTAAAAATTAAAATATTAACTTTTTGAGCGAGGTAGGTACAGAGATAATAAATGTCACTTTATTTCTTTTTTGAACCTAAAACTCATAGCTTATAATAAAAATAATGTTGAATGTAAAGTCTTTCAATTAAAATTTCATCAAAATTCCCAAGTCATGCTATTATAATTTTAGGATAAAGATCGTCTTATAAGGAGGTGTTGAAGGATTGACGACCCCCAAACCAAAATGATGTCTTATCATTTTTGTACTAAGTCAGTTATATACAGCCCGTTTTTAGATTTTATTAATTGAAGAGCAATAAAAGATCTCTAATAAATAAATGCTGACTCAAAAAAATGCCTACAAGCACTTCCCTAGAAACATTTCTAGGACCACCTCTGTTTAATATACATAATGAAAATATACCTTCACAAAAATTAATTGTTTTAAATAATAATTACTAATCAGTTAAGAAAATAAGACAAAAACTAATGTTTTTAAACATTAGTTGACAAATATTAATTTTTTTTAGTAGCAATTTTTCCATAGTGGAACCCATTATAAAACTAATGATTCATATTTAGTAACAGATTATTTTTATGGCGTCTTATTTTTTTTTTACGAAAAAAAATTTCAAAAATATAGTTGATTAGTAAATAATAATACATACAATTTTTTTTTTAACTTGAATAGCAAAAAGGCATTCTCGGTATAAAAAATGTCAATTCTTAACTATTTATGAAACTAAATTTTTAATTTATTTGCTTAATCTAAAAGATTATATCAAATTAAATAGATCAATTGATGTAAACAAAGTGTTGATATTTGAACAAAGCGAAAACAAACCCAAAATCCGTTTAGTTATTTGTGTAAACGTACTCCTCATAACACGGTTATATTATGCTGTAAGATTGACATTCTCAAAGTTTTTTTTAAAACATGCGTGTTCAATTTATAAACAATGTAACAGTTGTTAAATTGTTGTTTATTTGTGAATTTGTATTGTTATAGGTGTTACTAGCAGACATTTGAAAAACACATTAATAAACACATAATGTGTGTATGTATTTTTTTTTCATATTAGTTACTCGTCCAACAGTTCCGCGTTTTAATGTTAACGAATATAAGCTCAATAATATTTTTATTCTATGCAGCAAAGTTTTAATTAATATTAATAATTGTATCTTGTAATGTGAAAAGTGTAAAACGTACATACTGAAAAAGAAATGTAAGTTTCCACTATAAAATTATGTATATTATCGAATCGTCAAACTTAAAAATGACGAATAATAATCTGACAATCTGTTTATAAAAATGCATGCATTAGATATGTGCATTTATTTAAATTTGTTAATTAAAAATGAGTAACCATGATGCACTTTAATTGATTAATATTATTTAAATTTTAGAATGCTGTCCTTCAGTAAATGATAAACAATTTTTGAAAAAAATTACTCATTTTATAATTTGATAGTATCAATACATTTCATGTTTAAAAATATAGATACTTATTTTTTAGTTTTAAAATGTTGGTATTTGTTTTAAAAACTTCAACTATAAAATATCAAACACCTGTTTAATCATTTTTTTATCAATTTTATCTATGGATGCGAATAATAATTAAATGTACGCAAATAATGACTTATTTAACGGCGTCAACACCCTAGAAACACATCAAACAGAAATTTGATTTTTATATAATTTATAGAACAAATAGTTTATTTATTATTTAATAAATATAAAATATGGTTACTTATTAAATGTCTTATTATAATTTTTATAGATGAAGGTGAGCTCTAAAACTTTAAATTGGCCTTGTGAGAAGTGTGAAAAACACGCCTGCAAAAACGATAGCAAAGAGTTCAGTAGTACTGTAAATAAAGGCGTCGAAAAATTACTCGCAGAAAGTATCGGCCCACTAGAATGCATTTACTGGTATTTATTGACATCTTTCATGATTATTTCCGTCATACTATTGACTGTTTATATTGTGATCGAGTACGAATATCACTTTGAATCGAATTCAGTACCTGAAGCTTCATTTCTAGTCAATTCAATGCCATCCCAAGTATTTGGTACAGACACTGATTTATGCGTTGGCGTTTCTGAAATTCCAAACTTATCAGAAAACACGAGGAATGCGAATCGACGGTTATCTAAACTCATTTCACTGGAAGTCGGCTCTACTGATGTTCACTATGTGTTTATAAACGACACGTCGATACCAAATTGGTTGTCCATATGTTCCCTAGAGTCTGCTCTAGAAGCTATAGGCGAAAAAAGCAAAGTTAACGTATTCTTAGTGCACAAAACTACAGAATTACACGAACATAGGCAACTTAAACGAAGATCGGTTAGTAAACTGCAGTGTTATTATTAATATTTTTTACAATCAATTATGTACTAAAGTTACAAATTATTTAATCATTCTAAATTTTTCACTAATTTTTATTTTTCCATTTCTATAAAAAAAATGTTCTCGAGTTGATTGTCCAATTCAAGCGGATGATTTAGTAATTTATTTCAATGCAATTCGTTTAGAATTTTTAAAAATTAATGTTAATTAAGAATTTAAAAATACAAATTAGAGAGATACTTATAAAATTTTCTATTATTTATTACATACATTCTAATCGTTATTTCATCATAGTTGGCCTGTGGACAACTTATCGAGAACAAAATTATATAATTCTAATGTATAGAATCCTTTATATTAAAGTAAAATTCGGGGTAATTTTATAATCGAAATGTAATTAATTTTTTTTTTAACTCACTAAATGCATTAGAAGTGTTTTTTTAAATAATTTGAAGTTTAGTTCTATCCATCAAAGAAATTCTAACTATCCGCCGAGTTTAATTTTATAATGTTTAGTTTTATACATTTATTTTTAGAATCAACTGTCGGCCAGCTTGGAAAAACTAGCAACAGCGTACGGTGAAAAATTGAACATATTCAACATCGACTTGGACGAGTGCCTGGAGTATTCGCCGTTAACAGGATTGAATTTGAGCAAACAACCCAAGCTAGCCAAGTTTGCTGTTGAATTAATGTTGTTATGGCACTATGGCGGCACCGTGTTGGACGACGGTATGGTGGCTGTTCGGGGCGAGATATACCGAGCGTCCGGCACCGCTGTTGAATATGGCAACCGGGAAATCAGTTCTCCCGTGGCATGTCACGCATTCATTTTTAATGTCATGTTATGTATTAAGGATTTCATACTTCATGACAAAATACCCTTTAATCTGGGAATGGGTAAACGAGTCATCGAAAAAACAATACAAGTTTTTCAACATACAAATAAAGATGCTCTATCACTAAACGAACAGATTGTATGCAAAAATGGACTAGTTAACAATAATTGTTATTACATGGAAACGCTTGGAGATCGTTTGTATGCTCATGAATTTTGTCCGATTACAAGTAATACACCTCTCCCGAAAAATCATAAAATCGTTCCCAGGGTAACAGCATAATGTCAACATTTATGTTAGAATATTATTTAGTTATAAAGCGCAGATTTTGTTGAGAGGAAACTACGAACTTATCAAGAATTTAAATTCGGGAAGTTGCAATAAATTATTTATTTAGGATTCTAAAAGTATATAATTTACCTTTATGTCTCTTAAATAGTTTACAAAAGTGAACATTTTAAAAATCAATTAACTTTTTGAAGAAAAAAAAACTATTGCTGCTACTCTATTTAATCTGATGTAGGACTGTTTGATCTAATCTACATATGGAGTTATATTCTTCTAATTGCATTGATAAGGCGTACATTTTTACACGTTTTAAAAAATTTAACAATTGTGATAAAAGCACATAATTATTGTGAACAAATACTCATAATTATTCAAAAGTCGTCAAGTATACATGTTTACTGCTAAATAAAATTTTTTTAAATATGTTAAAATTTAACTTAATATCTTGATGAAAAATTGTATCGTTCAATACAATAATTGAATAGACAAGATCTCATCACATTCAACTAAGTATATATTTTTATTCAGGTTTGATCCCATAAATATTTTCATTACAGTTATTTTAGGTAAAAACAAAGAAACGAAAATCCTCGTTAAATTGTTTACTCGAGAAAAAAATTTATGTGCTACAGTTGCCATCTTTCAGGTTTTCGCAAAATTTATATTAATAATGTAATTAATTAGAAAATAAAATATAAAGACTTATATGAGTTGTCAAGTTATTAATACAATGTGAATACACTGGATCGACTAAGGAAAAGTACAATAGGCAAGGTATTCTGGATTCCACGATGAATAAAAACGAAAGTCCTTTTTTTTAGTTACATGAAAGACCTAATTAGGGAAACAAATTATATTTTTTTTATAAATTATGAAGTTAAATTAGAAACATTTTTTAGATGATTAGTTTATTATTATATTACTTACAATAATGCAGGTTTCTTTAGCTTCGATACTGTAGTTTAAGTAAATTATATTTTAATATTGTTATTTACTAAAAATGTTTTTTTACTATTTTTAGCCTAAGAAGTATTATTATTTAGAAATTAATTTGAATAAACACCTTTAACACTCAAGTACAGTAAATAATTGACATACATAAAAACATAAAACTTTAAAAGAAAATAATAATTGTTCAATGAAAAAAAAAAACAACAGAACTAAAACTCACCTAGAATAAAAGTTTTAGGTTAGGTAGACTATTTGATGAATTTTTTCTATGAAGAGGTGATTTAGTTGACTATAAAAGACCATAATTTTAAGTAATTATATTTAATATTGATAACTATAAAAAATGTGTTAATAGTTTTTAAGCATTTATTTATTTTATGTTTTCATTAATTTATTTTTACTTTAATGTATACAATTCTATTTAAATTACATAAGTGGGATTGATTAAATGTTAAACCATCTTTTGTAGTATTCAACTTATGATTGATTTGCTGCAACTTCCATGTTTCTCTATCTCTTCAACTCTTGATATAAATTACATCCTTGATCTTCTATTAACTGACTTATGTATTGCAATCTTGGTTTTCCTTTGATTTTTTCCATCGATTATTCCTTTCAAGATTAATAATAGCAACCTATTGCGTCTTAAATATGATCTATTAATTAATTTCTCCTTTTATGTATACTCTCTTCCATATTAATTTCGTCTTAGATACCCTTTATAAAAATTCTTCATTAGTCATTTATTTAAATTAATTTATCAGTTCAACTTACCATTTCCATCCTTCTGTAGCACCACATTTCTAAGGCCTTTATTCTTTTCTTGCATTAGTTCATGTTTAGCATTCATATAACATGATGTTCCAGATGTACGTTTCTAGTAGATTCTTTCTAATATTAAGGTCATTTTTTATTGAAGTAAAAACTTTTTTTTATATTAAATGCTACCTTAGCTTGGTATATTCTCTTTATATTTCTTTTTTGCATCTTCCATCTGAGCTTAAAGTACAATCCAAATATATGAAATCTTCTATTTGTTCTACAGTTTCATCGTGTTTTAATATCATTCTTGTTCTTATGTTATAGTCTCTACTACATATTAGAAGATTTTCGTCTTCTTTAAAATTATTTTCGTATGTAAATCTTTTTCCATCACCTGTTCCTAAAATCTTTTTTAATATTGCAATGTCGTTCCGGAATCTCAACAAAAAATAACGAAATAAAAAAACATTTAAATTAAGCTATATTAGTTTTAAAATGCAATCTTATTTTCTACTAAAATAATTTGAGTATAGTTTTTATTTATATAAATTGTTACTTTTCCTTAGTGCTTTTTACTCCATTTATAACAATGTTTCATGTTACTATGCTCATAAGAAAATTAATCCTTGCACAGTTGATATGGTTGTATAAAACAATGCAAAAAGTGTAAATTACATAAGTAATAATATATATACATTGTTAATAATTTTAACTTTCTGGGAAAATTTTATTGTGTTATATTTACAGGTTAAAGTAAAGAAATAATGAAGAAATGTTAGAAAAATGTCTTTTTAATTATTAAGCAGAAACTTTAATTTTTTGTCAAATACATTTTCATAACTCAATGCAAAACATAATTTAAATTTTTTTTTATATTTTATGGAAAAACTTCCATAAAAGTTANTGCAAAACATAATTTAAAATTTTTTTTATATTTTATGGAAAAACTTCCATAAAAGTTAATATTTTTAATAAATTTAGTTTCCATAAAGACAGCATATAAAAGTTCATTTTTTAAAAAGAGATAGGTAAAGGAATGTGATAGAAAATGAAAAATTCTATTACCAGACATAAAAACAACAAGTATGGCACTTTGCACACAGTATTTCTCAAGTCATACCAAAAATATTTTCTTCAAGTAATCGAGATTAAAAATGTAATAACATTAAATACCATATTTTAAGTCAAAGTTACTAATTAATACTAATTGACTGAATTAAAAAAAAAAAACTGAAGAAATTTATCAAAAGGCATATAAATAAAAACACTATTTTAAGTCACTGTAAAAATGTATTATAACAATTACCTGTATTTATATATTACAAACAAAGTATTTTAATGAATAGAAGTCATTAACTGATTACTAATTTCAATTTAGATTAGAATTTTAAGTGCAAAAAAATTTTTAATTTTGTTGAAATCAGCAGTACAAATTGAAGTTTTATACATATCAATATTTTTAAAAACTAATATGTATATATATATGTATATATTATATGAATATTGTTTATAACTTCACTCTATATAACGTTTTTAATTATAAAATGATTAACCTAATAATATATTTATAGAATTAGGAAAACTAGAACATAATCTATATAAAAGAAAAAACTTAAACGCCTACAACAGAGTAAAATATTATATGTAATATGCATACACAAACAATAGCGTTGTATAATTTTATGCTAACTTGCTTCGCGATTCGCTGATGGAAATAAAAACGTGTAAAAATAGATAGGACACACAATATATGAGCATAAGCTTAACCAGACCATATTTAATAACTCACAAACCTTTACATGATAATATAGTGAAATTAATATAATATTGAGAAAGACTATTTACGCATATTTCTCCTTATGATGAAATAAATAAATTAAAAATGGAGAATTGCATATAATTTTAATAGTAATAAAAATTTATATTAATTTTATAGGGATGACATGGTCTAATTTCATAAAAAAAAAAAAAAATTTGATGTTAGCCTAAATATGACCACAACAATAAGATGTTTCCCATAGATAAATACAGGAGTCTATTCTTTCTTCTTTTCTTCAGTAGATTTTTTTCCAATAGGAATAGCTGCTCTAACTCTAATAAAATAGAAAAAATACATTTATTATTTTATACAGTAAATATATTAAATAATAAATACTTGTTGGTTAATTCTGCAATTTTACCCCTGACCAATTCAATATTTTGATCAATTTGAGTTTTGTTGTTTTCATACACTTTTGGTAATGTAAACAGTGCAATTAAACCTAAAAATATAATAAGAAAATAGTTTGGTTTAATACTATGTAATAGTGTCATATTAAAAGTAAAATAATATTTAATACATATTAGTCTTACCTAAAATTATTAAAGTGAGGCCATTGAACCACGCACCAATATAAGTTAACACCCATAAAATACCAAAAAATTTGACCGAGTCCACTAAATCTTCAGCGAGTAATAAACGACGGAGTTCAACTAGAATAGCATTGACATGCACAACAGCTAATTTACCCCATTCTTCAGCTTTTTCTTCTGGAAGCCTAATGTCTAAGTCCAAATATTCTCTGTAGTAAAACATTGAAAATATTAATATTGTATAAAAAATTCTCAAATTACATATAGTATATAGTATATTCTTACTGGAATGGATGACTTTCAGATGTTTTTTGAACTGTTTGTAAAGCTACTTTATAAAGGCGTAATAAAATACATCCAGACTGTACAGCGATGGCAAGATATGCAATAACACTGATCAATGACATATATGCAAAGGATAATAAAATGACTAGTGAGCCACCAAAGACAATACCTGACAATACAGGATCTCTCCAATACACTAAGGCTTCAACTGTAAAAAATAAAAATAAAATACTTATTATTTTAATAAATAATTAAAAAAACTCAACATAGAAATAATACATCACATAATATTATTGTTTTAACAGTCTTTAATTAATTAATGTAATCATAATTCAACCATAATTAGAAAAAACAAAATTTATAATTTCTTAACTAATTTTTAAAACTAACAAAAATTTAATAATAATTTTTTTTTTAAATACAAAATTCTAGTAAATTCATAACTTATTATATTATATATATTACTTAATATAAAATACTTTGTAAATACTAATAATGAAAATATGGATAATCCCCATTGAAAATACTCAGTCTAATATTTCATTAAAAAATATCTCACTATCAATATAATTTTAAAATTACTTTGACATTTTTCTTGCGAATTTAACTGAAATAATATTTTATAATTAATGGATATGATGATCATAATATTACAATAATTTGTAATATAATATATGTCATATAAATTATGACATTATTATGTCATATTTTTGTAATTAAAAAAAATATTATCTCGAAAAAAAAAATTGACATTGTAAATAAATTATATAGGTTAAAAAAAATTAACTATGATAATATAAAATATTTTCGAGGTTATCAAAATAAGATACTACATTACATATAATTTTTCTATTTGTAGCATAATAACATTAACAAAGAAAAAATGTTTTAAAAAGAGTACTGTAAATAAAAGTAGAATTAGCAAAGTGAACATTGAACTATAAACATAGCCTCAGGGTATCAACGATGCAACGTTTGAATTTTATTCAGAAATTTTGCTATGTGGAAATTAAAATACAATAAGATAAATATAATTTACGAGATAACGTTCCATATTGGAAGCTAATTGATTCGCGTAGAAATTTTATATTTTATTACTAACAAAAATATATGGTCGCCTAATAAATAAATATATAAATAAATAAATAAATAAAATGAAATTTTAATAATAACCCTGCAACAGTTTTATATTAAAAAAAAGAAAGTGATAGAAACGCGAAGATGTATATATGCAGTGTTAATCCTTTTAATTATAATAATAATAGTACTTTCTAGTTCAAAGTAGTTCAATACAATTTTTGAATAATAATTATGAAAACGAACATATAGAACTAGAATTTATTGTATATTATAAAAACGCAGTTTTAATTTTATCTCAACATCAAATATAATTTAAATACTTCCCTATTGGTTTAACGAAACTCACTCTGTAAGTTATACATTATAGTTGAAAAGAAAATCTAAAAAAGTTAAAATTGAATATTTTTAAATCAAAACACACCGAGGTTTTAGAATGACTAAGAATTAAGTAAATACATCTACGACAATAAACCAAAATGAATCATCATTTAGAATAATTTTCAGTTCAAATCTCGAGTATTCGCATCTGCGCATTTAAGTAGCCGCTGTTAAAGGCTAAAACATGAATTCATGTACATGAAAAAAATTAAGGGGATGCCGATTGATAAACATATCAAGGTGATATAAATAGATAAATACACTAAACGCAAGTAAAATACAATATTTAAAAAATGTATTAATGGGTTATTAAAGAGGCCACGTAAATCGAATGTGTTAAATTTAAATCAAACAAAAATTAAGAGAACTAAGAAATTATCATTTCATGTAACAGAATGCCCGTCTAACGGTAATCATCCGACGAAACCGGTTGTTTGGTATATGATTTGATCTTGAACACGAAACTTCAACAAGAAACAAAAAGAAATAATACGATTTTCGAGTACCAAGCAAGTTTTAAGTTATAGGCACACAAACCTGGTCCCCTTTCAGGTAACTCGACGGGTGCAGCATATCCGTTGTTGTACCTACTATTATTTCTCTTGGGCGCCATTTGTCAACCGATTAACCACACGAGATTTACGGAATAAAGAACTACACAAACTACAGCCGATGCGCAATTGAGCTCTATACTAAGATGATCTTGGACGGCTAAATGGTATCCACCGTACGCCAAAAGACAACGGCTGCGGCGGCCAACGGATTCCACGTAGCAGAGCTACTCCCCCTCTTTCAATACACAGCTGTTCGTGTGTCTGTCCCACCAACGGTGCTGAGGTTCCACATGTGCGTTCGAGTCCTGCATACGTGTGTCCCGTCGACAATTACGTTGTGTCCCGGTCTGGGCTTGCATCAAAAATTACCAATGTTTTGCTGAATCAGAATTTTTTTTTTTTGTAATCTTTAATTTCTGTAAAATGTGGTACACGTTGCAAATTCATTACTAGTTTACATGACACTGACACGTATCGATAAAAAACGTTACACTGTCAGCATATCGTAATGCAAACGTTAAAATATCGTTCATTAAACTACACAACGATATATGATAGTTGCATTTATATATTTGACTTATATTAAATGTAGGTTAAATCCATCGATTTTCCAAAATTTGAAAAATCAGTGGATTCTTAGAAAAGTGAAAGAAAACCTTGTTATAAAATATTCCCTTTACAAAAATTAATTAACATTTTAGGGTATAACTGTACTTCAAAGAAAACGAATTTCAAATAATAAATCCACGTCGGTCATTCATTGTTTGAAATATATACTTAAGGTTTATTGAATAAAAGTAATGAGCCTAATAGTTAACACGAAAGAAATTTTAAACAGTGTTTCAAAAACCATAACTTATAACTTGTTTACTGTCAACGATTTAAGAAATAAAATACATTTCTACTATTCGAAAATTAAAATATATCCGAACACTGTACAAAAAAAAATCAAGTTTACTGCAGAAAACACAGACATGCGTTCCGATGACTTGAAAAGAATACATAAATATAGCAGCGGAATTAAAAATAGATCACGTGGTCAAATGTCTAGAATTAGACAAGTATAAAATATTATATATTTGAAAATAAACTAGCTAAGATTTACTATTTCACTTAATTGAATAATCAGTATTTAAATAAACAAATAACTTCGTGCACATATAGACCAAGTAAATGAATAAAATGTTCTATTTTAAAAATAAATTTGTCATATAGTTTTTAAACAATTAGGAAGACTCGATCGACAGCATAACCGGAAATAAAAAACTTGAATAAAAAAATCACGTTACTCATAATTCAAAAATTGAATACATAAGTACCATGTGTTACAATAACGATTTTATAACAGTCTTTGACGTTGTGGTTACTGTGTAGGTGAAATTTTATCAAATAATATTACTGATTTAATTATAAAAATAATAATTACAGAATAACTTAACGGTTTTCGCAAGGATCTCTTATATAACAAGTTTAAGATTTTTTTTCTGTAACTATAAAATTAAGTGTTTGAGATTAATTAGTAAACGTCAAAATCTACATAGTACTGTTTTTGTTTAATGGTAAAAAGATGTATTACATATAATTTCCAAAAAGAATACCAAATTATCTTATATTATTTGTTAACACTACAATATAATGGATAAACTACAAAAACTGCATCCGCACCACCAACTACCTAAATATGACATTGTTAAGAGAAACTCCTAAAATTCTTAGAAATTTTACTATAAGAAAAAAATATTAGTAACCCCTGGAAGTAATAATATATATTTTCTTTTATTATTATGTTAAATAATTTGAAAATCAATGAACGTGTACATAAAATTTGTAAAACGTATTAACTAAGTTAAAATGACATAACACACTGATTATATTGAAATGACCTCTTTGAGTAAGAATCAATACATTCAAGTATTGGTCATTAATTTTGTGATGTGATAAATAAAATTCCATAATATACAGTAATGATTAAAGTTTAAATATCAATACAAAATTTAACAGACGATTTGCATATAAAATGTGAACTGGTTAAAAAATTCAATAAATCGTTATACAAATGCTTTAATTGTTCTTTAATCATAATATTGCTTTAGTTAATTCAAACCGTAAAATATTTGCAATGCAAATTATATTTAAGTAAATAAATGTATAAATCCGTCGGATAAGTAGCTCATCCACTCTTTTGAAAGTAATGTTTATTTTTATATGTAATAAGAGGCAGAGAAATTTTCTTCACACTCCATATTTTCAGTAATATTTATGTCAAGTATATTAAACAATTAAAAAAAAAAAGAATCATAAACACATCCTAAAAATTTGTAACCCAACTAACATTGAAAAGGTATCACAAATTCAGTCATGAAAAATAACAAACGTAACTAAAACCTAGTAATTTAATTACTGAATAAATTTTTATTCTCTGGCCTTGAAACATCAGTCGAGGTTTATATTCTGCAATTACTGATAACATAAAAAAGTCGTTTATTAATTTTTGGCATAGTTAGTTTTATTAAGAGGGAGAAAGAAATATATATAAGAAAATTTTCCCTGCCAAACGAAAGATAATTATTTTTTTTACACTAATCNAGTTAGTTTTATTAAGAGGGAGAAAGAAATATATATAAGAAAATTTTCCCTGCCAAACGAAAGATAATTATTTTTTTTACACTGTATTTTTGTTTTAGGAACCTATTCCCCTTACTCCCCCTTTATCACTATTAATTATGCGTCTGCTTTAAACTCAGTAAACAATTGCGTGCATAATTGATTCGAAAATAATATGAAAAGTAAAAAAAAATATGTTGGATACTTATAATTAATAATCACGAATCTACAAAACAATTAAAATAGAAATTTCAATTCGGCTACCACTGTTACAATTAAACCCACAACAAAATTTACCATCAAAGGATTTACGTACTTTAAGAAAACATTGTTTATTATTTAAATGATCAACTAATAACAGATACTAGTTATAAATGTTTCTATATATTAATATACGTTTAAACTTATAGATAAACCACATCAGATTGACAAAAAAAAGTTATGTAAAATATTCTTAACTCCCACCACGAAATAATTACATTTATTTTTATCATTAGTCATAACTATGTAATAAAAGGTCAATATCATTCAAGGTGTTTTCTATACACTATTTTAAGTTAACCATTAAACGTATATTTTTTAGAAATGTTCACACATTTCGTTGGATATAATAGCATTATACGTATATGTTTTTATTAATGATTTGTTAAATCTTAGCTCAATCAAATGCACAAAATTTTAAATGTACAACGTCTATATTGTTTAGTTAAATTGAATTATTTGTTTAAGATTATGTAAGATGCATATATATATATATTACATCACTTATCACTAATCACTAATCCTCAAGAAGTAAAAAATCACGTGTAAATCATAGTCCACTGTGGCATAGAAAAATGTAGTACATGTTTGCCCATGACTCACATTAGTAGTATCAATTTAAATAATTACAGTAATCATTATTCAACAATTTCATTGTAAAATAAAATATTTACCAATTTTCATGAAACTTTGTACATTTTATTATCTTATTAAACATAAAAAAATATGTCTCTCATAAACCATATTTGTTTTTTAATATAAGCCTTCATTTAACAATTTTAACATTTTAAAATATGAAAAGCAATAGGAACATAAGTTACAGAACCACTTACATAGAGAATTTAATTTAACAATTAAATTAACAAAAATATAACACGAATTATTAAACGTGTATCTGACAACGGTACAGTTATGCTGTTGCATACAACATCTCAATTACATAACCAGTTGGTCTATCTCAGATAAAAACAATAACGATAACACATTCCATACAAGTCGTAATATTCTTAGCAGTAAAAAGGTAGTGACTTTATTCACAAGATAAGTTTCAGAAAATACACTTTTAAATATTACATTTATTATGTAAAAGTCTTAATTCGAACAAGAGGTTTATTTTTGGCGGGCAAGTTTACTCCCTCTTACCCGCCAAAACATCAGCACAACAACGCCCGGAAGTCTACATACAACGGCCAGAATTAATGAAAAATTCGTTAACTATAAGTCCTAATGAAGTTGATTCGTATTTACTTACGTTTTTCTCTTTTTACTCCCATGTTGAATGTTTCACGCAGAATCCAAGACGAATTTCGATTTGACAGTTTATAAAAAAAAAAAATACTACATGCGAATTACACACTGTCACTACCTATAAGTGTCGTCGTCATATATTATTATAATAGATCGGCGTACTGAGTGCACTGCCGCGTCTATGATTTTAATTTTTTACTGATCTATTTTTATGGCCGTGTCGGCAGCTCAAGCGCTCATTTAATTCTAATTATACTGTCGAGCTCCAAGATAAATGTACAACACACGCACAAACGTATAGGCATACCACCATTCGAACACAAAGCAATACTGACACAGTGCACTGGACACAAACGGCGGTTAACTACATGCAGTGCGCGTTGGTTCACTCCCTACAAAACAATGAACGGCAGGACGTGTGGCACAGTATTGCTTGCGCGCGCTACACGCTAGGGACAATAATCACAGGGGGCGAAGTGTTATTGCGTCGCAATTTAAACTCGGTGTATATACGCAGCGAGGATATACAACTACGGCACTCCGTATAAAATATCAGTGGTTAACGCGATCAATAGAACATGTAGACAAGGCGGAGGTACATTTTTTGCGGAAGCCTGTTGGGCTAAGGCGTTAACAGCCGTAGAATTTAAATAAAAATCATAAACGAAATCGTAGACGAACCATCGAGTTGATCAATGATTTATTGATAACGTAAATATCTTAATACCAGTCTTTAAATTTCCAGACCAATCCGAAATATTTATAAGAAAATATAAAATTTTTATAAAAGTTAAATTGTGATAACATATACATACCCCGGACATTAAATTCGGAGGATTAAACATTGTGATACTTTAGATATTCGTTTCGGGGATTTATAGATTAAAAACAAAATAATATTTATTGCTATTCAAAAAAAATAATAAAAATTAAGATAGTAATTATTTCTATCAATAATTGCTATAAGACAATGAGTCGGTTAAAGTAATAAATAATAATAATCCAATACAACACACCCCTTACAAGTTCCTGTGACAAGGATAAGAAACCCAACAAGTCAGTTCTTAGAACTTAGTCAAGCTCAGTCTCAGCGCATAATTATATATATGCCAATATTTATATTTTCTACAAATGAAAAACTATTTTTAGAGCGAGAATTTGACCATTTAAAAAAGTTTTGGATTAATCAGATGGAAAATTATTCATCTAAAAATGAACCTGAATATAACAAATGTTTATATTTTAATATTGATAGTATTATTCGATTATTTTTAATCATATAAAAATTACATACCTTTAGGTGGCAGTTTCTCAGGATTGAACCATTTATCTAAAAAAAAAAGTTATATCTTTAACTACGAAATTTTATATCGAATAAATCAATAACAAAAATTATTACTAAATGTTCTCCTTAAATAAAACAAAATAATTCTTACTAGGCTGAATTAAAATAAACAAAATATTCACTACTGAAATATGATCAAATTCTACTACTGATTTCATTTTAAATAATATGTATGTTAAAATAAAAATAAAACAACAATAATTAGTTAATATTTGTCATAAATTTAATAGAACCTTGCAAATAAAAAATGCTATCACTAATAATAATTCAATCTAGAATTCACGTGTTAGAAATAGTGGTTATTTCTAAAGCGTTGTTTTACACGAACTAAATGCCTGAAATCGGCAGTCGTTATTGTTATTAAATTCATTTTCAATTTATGATATAGGTATTATTACAACGCTGATAGTATAATAAGGCATAAGGTCACGCTGGATAAAAATAGGTATTACTCTATGTGATCAACCATTCCTTCTTCAAAACTTTAAAATTAAAGAAACTTTTATTTCAAATATTATTTTTTAAGATATGTTTTATTCGATTTCAAAAGTTTCAATAGTTTTATAATATCTTAATAACTTTAAATATTTTTATTTATTATTATTATGTCTTTATTATATTAGTAAAAAAACAACTGCAGTAAAAACGTAATTTCAATAAATAAAAGTCTATAAGTACTTCTTACTTGGAAAAAGTACATTTAATAAAAAAAATGTATTCTTAACGCTCTTATTGTATTATTAAAAAGTTATTCCAAAAATGTAATTAATATAATTTATTATATTTCATTGTTGTTCAGATAATTACATAGAATAATTTTATATTTTTTCCTATATTTTATAGAATCATACTTATCCTATTCATATAGAATTAGACATTAAAAAATGAAAAAGGCTCTTTTTTTTAAAAGTGGCCTTTTTTTTATAAAAAAATTGTTATTGAGAAATCAAGGTATAACTGAAATTTGATATTAGGAGGGTAAAATGGTACATAAAAAAACATTTTCATTATCTGCCTCTTAAAGAAATAAGTAATCTTTTATTTTTTGAGGATTATTTCCTCTCAGTATCATTGTTCTGAAACATAAACATTAGCAATGTTTTTATGGGAACTGTAGGATTTAAGTTTCCATGGACATATCCAATGCCCAACAAATAATTTTTTGAATTGGGTTAAGAAAGGGGGTAGGGAGAAAAAATAAATTGAGTATAAAGCTATAGCCCCTACAGTCAAAGGTTTTAAACTAAGACGATGAATATAAGTTATTAAATATAATATTGTTTTTAGGGTTTAATGTAAGGTTCTCTTCATAGATTCAGAAAGTACATCATTTTTATCTTATCATTAATTTATACAATTCATATGAAATATGTTAAAGATAGAAGTTTTGTTGTAAAAAACATTTAATATGTTAAATCTATTTAAATTATATTAGAAATTGATACATAAAAAATATAAGAATAAAAATTAATAATTTTCAATAAGATTTTCCCCTTCAAAAATTGTACACATCACATTCTAAACATCTTTTATGTCACATAGATTGTTAGATATAATATCCTCAGTATTTTTATTAATAAATATGTAATTAAAAGATTGATTAAATAATTAATTTTTAAATTTATTTGTCGTGTATAAATTCTACAACTTAATAATATTCTAGTTTCTAGATAAAACGACTTAAAAAATTATTACTATAAAATAAAACTCAAAGATACTTGCATAAAAATATTTATGTGATATTACTTAATAAAATAAGAGAACAATGAAAAAAATATTATAATTTACCTAGACCAATTCTTGAAAATAATTCTTCGGGTCCAATTTTTATGTCACAAATATCATTCTTAACATTAGTTTCCTTAGGAGATATATTAGTTATAATACTATCAGAGTCAAAAGACTCAGGTTGTTGAACATTTTCTGTTTTTGTTTTAGAAATGTTTTTATAGGTAGGAACATCATTATTTTTAGACTCAATATCAAAAATTAAGTCAGCTTTATCAGGAATCTCTACATAAGGAACACTTTTAGATACATTAGTATCGCAGAGTAGACTAGAAGCTGTTTCAGTATTAAATAAATTTTCATCACTTTTGGTCACATGCTCAGTTTTTTCATCTTCCACAATATAAATAAGAGATTTAGGTTCTTGTTCTATTACTTCAAAAGTATTTTCAAGAGGTTGAATATTTTCAACAGAGCTAGACTTTTCTGGAACTAATATGAGGTCTTCATTGTCTTCTTGATAATTAGATTTTATTTCTTCAGACATAATATCATTTGGGAATTCAGAAGAAATCGGTTTTGGTGACAATTCTGATAGGTCATCGTTTAAGTCCAATAGTTTCCGGTCTTCCATTTTCCAATTCTTAAAATGGATGTACACTTAATGCAGTTGAAGTGTTAATTACAAATAGGCAAAGTGCAGTCTAAAAATAAAAAAAATGTTGCGTATATCGTGAAAACTTTAAGAGCAATAAATGTAAAAATAGTATTAGCAGTAAAATTAAGTAGATATTTTAAAAAGGTTATGTATGTTCAAAAGGTAACAATTAATAAAAAAAACATCGAAATAATTACTGAATTTTCTATTACACTATAAATATGAATTTCAGATGATAATGAAGAATACTGTTGTATGATAAAAAAAAATCAATATTAATTTAACAGTTATACCACAGAATAAATATTAATTGGTAACCTAGGTAACCTAAATAAACTTAGTATCCTTAAACATATACTATTGATAAGAAATATTTATGGTTATGTGGACTATGTTAACTAACTATGGTCCTGTGATAACCTTATAGTTTATATACAAAAGTTCATAGTCAGGATGACAATTTATAACAGATAAGATAAACCCAGATGGTGTACATTTTAATTCACTGATACATCGAACCTGCCACAATGCAGTGACACCGCATATAAGGAATTAATTTAATGTACAGCTCCTTTTACTATAATTATTGTATCATATAATTGGTTATGTCTGTATACATGAAAGTCAATGCATATTAACAGAATTTAAAAAAATAGTCAAAATTTGAGTAGCTATAATGTACTATTTATTGGTAAACTTTTTAACTTATCTTTAATCTACTTACATCAGTCTTTTTAACTCTATAACAGATTAAATAATTCGATTTCATATAATTTGCTACATAATGCTAAATATGTTTTCTTTTCATATATTCTAATGCTTCAAGGGTAAAATTTTTAGTTTAAAAATAAAGAAAACTAAATAAAATATCATTTAGATCCTGAAGAATTTCAAAATTTAAAGATGTAAGTGTGAATGTACTTATTGTTGCTAAAGAAAGTGTTTTTTCCATATACAAAGTTTTAAACCTTTGAACCCAAAAAATAAATTATTTCTTTTCTTTGTTATATTGTTTCTTTCTTTTTGCAGTAAATGTGATTTAATAATTAAAATTAAGTTTGGGCATTAGCATATTATATCGTACATGATTTAAAATAAACACATGCAAAAATTAAAAATAAAATAATTAATGAATTTCAAATATAAAATGGGTAATCTTCATACATCAATATAGCAAAAATGAAACGGAACTCGAAAGTATCAGTAAATTTAGCATCTTTACAAAGACGTCATAACAGACAATAAAAGTCAGTAACACATAGTTAATAAACAATAATTTCCTATTAATACTTTTTTATTCCTATAATTGGCGATACTGATCTGAGGTAGGTTTTAGTTAGCTTACATTTTTGAGAATTACACATCTTGAGATAAAGTGAACCATCTGGTTTTATCTTATCTGTTATATTATTAACAGCAATTCTTTTGAGAATTATTGTATATTTAAAATTTTTCTTATAATTAAAAACCTAATTTTTTATTCAATGTAAAAGTTTTTCTAAAAAAAAGGCATTAATAACTATAATTTAACTTATTTCAAAAATTTAAGTAAAAGTATTTGTTTTATATTTTTGTAAAATTTTCTAGTAAACTTTGTTGTATGAATTATTATTGATTAAAACAAAGATTATTGCACCTTAAATATGGAAAATATATTCAATAAAGACCATAATGCTGAATCTTCCGTTTATAAAGATTATGGTCAAGAGGATATGTTTTTAGCCCCTGAACCTAAACGTTCAAATGATTATCAATTGTCAGAAGCATACAACAAAAAGAAAAAAGACAAAACAAAAAAACAAATTGAAGCAGAAGAACGAGAAAAAATGAGGTTAGTCTTATAAAATGATTGATTTATTTTATTTAATACAATTATTTGTAATAACACAGTATTGATGATTTTAGAGTGTTAGTGTCAAATTTTACTGAGGAACAATTAGATAGATATGAAATGTATAGACGTTCAGTATTTCCAAAAGCTGCAATAAAAAGAGTATGTGAATTATATTTATATATATTAAAAATCTTGGTTTATTTCTATAAAAATGAATTCATAAAAATATTATTTATTAAAAAATAAAATTTTAGATCATTCAAACCATAACGGGAAATTCAGTATCTCAAAATGTTGTTATTGCAATGTCTGGAATTGCTAAAGTATTTATTGGTGAAATAGTTGAAGAAGGTATTATATATTTAATTATTTTAATAAAAAGATTAGAAACCTATATAAAATAATATAAATGTACCAATGTAATATTGAAAGAATGTAAATACAGCTGCCAGTGATCTTGAAATGAAAGCATATATTTAATTAAAAAACAAAAGTGATACATTTTATTGATATTTTAGCTCTTGATATAATGGAAACTCAAGGTGACGTAGGACCTTTGCATCCTAAACACTTAAGAGAAGCTGTTAGAAGGTTAAGAAAACGAGGTGCAATTCCATCATCCAAAGGTAGAAAAATGCCATTTTACATTTAATTAATTGACTGAAATTATCCTTGTATATGTGACAGAATTTTATATTTTTTATATAATAATATTAAAATTGAGTGTATATATAATCATTATTGAGATGTATTATTTTTTAAGTATAATAAATATAATAATAATATAAAAACCAGGTTTTTAGTTTTATATTATATTAAAAAAAACATAGAAAAAAAATTTTAAATGTGTATTTTTAATTGTTAATATTGTTTCAGAATTCAAGTTACAACATATAAATTAGAACATATTTTTATGTCTGAATAATAAAAATACTATGGTAATAAACCCCAATAATAATTAATATTTCAAATTTATTAATTAATTCATTACTATAAACAATTAATAAATTAGTTATAACAATTATAAAAGTAAAAATTAAAATAAATATGTGTTAAATGATTAAAAAGAAAAGCTATAACAAAAAAATCTAAAATTTTATTTAAAATACTTGTAATTGAGAAACAAAATATTTAAAATTTAATCTTAATGCATTTAAGATTAGATATTTTAATATTTTAACATTGAAATATTTTATTTTTAATAACATTTATTATAGCGAAACTTAACAAACTCAAATCATTTGATGATCTATTACATTCTTTTGCTAATTCTACAATTGTTAATTTAATTGTTTCATCTCTGTAGTTAAGCAAGTATGCACTAGTTATTATTATTGAAGCAGCTATACTTGTTTTTTGGAATTCACCAAACAAAATTTGTACTCTAAAAATACATTAAACAGATTAATAAAAAATAAAATAATTAACCGTATATGATTCTATGAGTTATTTAGATATTATATTTCAGTATATACCTACTTCTTATTACAAGAAAATTCCTGTTGTCCTTTTTTATGCAATAAACTATCACAAATACTTTGATAATAAATATAAACAAAATCACTTATAACTGAACAAAGTGTTAATAGTTCATTTTCGTTGTCATAACCACATATTATGATAAAATACTCAACAAATGTGTACATTGATGGTTCATTTAACTGTATTATTTAAAATAACATAACAAAGAAATTGAATTATGTTGTGCAAATTATTTAGTACTGTTTTTGACAATTATTTGATGTACCTTATATTCTATTGTATGAAAAACATAAACTTCTGAGGAAATAATATCATTTATTGTGTGCATTTGTCCAAACTGGTGTAACATATTTTTCATCTCAATTAATTTTAAATTCTAAAAATATATAATTCAACACATTACTTTAGAAAGTTAGTTTTAACAATAAAAATTGCAGTATTTCCACTATGTTTTAGCTTGTTAAAATTAAATATTAAAAGAATTTAATTTTTCACTATTATAACGTAACTAATTACAAAAATTTTAAATAAATGTCAATGTCAATTTGCAGAGATGTATTAGGTGTCAATGACACCCATACAGTATTAATTATTTCCACTCTTTTTTTTTTAAATTTCCCTCATCAAAAATAAGATAATTATTTTAAATAAGTTTTTCCACCTAAAGCAAATGTTTCTTTTGCACTTAGATAAATATAATATCACAAAACTGTCTTATTCAAAAAAGTTTTAGCTTATGAAATTTTTTTTTTCTTTCACTATAATATTGTGTTTATGTTATAGCATATACAATAACACAATTTAAAATGAATTTCTTTTATTAAAATCCTAGAATACATTTTTAAATTTAAAGTTTATCTATTTTTTAAATTGAAAATTATTTATAAACAACATTTAATATCAAGTTGGAGCTAAGAAGACATTTATTTATAACTATTTAATGTTATATCATGCAAGTATAAATCCTTCCTAAATTATATATGTTCTTCATTTCTTAAAACAAAACTTAAAATTGTTTAAAAAACATAGGGATAATAAAAACTAGACAGAAATTGTTAAATCTAATGAGGATGTACCTTAACAGTAAATATGTCATTAAAAAGAGTGCATAACAAATTGAAAAAAAAGGAATCCATCCAGAATTAAAATAGATAGTTGGTTGTTTAGAAATTCTTTATTTTTAACAACTAAAATAAATTAAAATCCATGAAATTTTACTTTTAATAATGACATACCGTAAATCTATGCATAAATTTCAGTACTAATTGTATACATGATAATACTCTTAGAGAGGATTGATTTTTACTTTGTTTTAAAAATTCATTCCAATTTTTCTCGCATTTCTTGATTTTTTTGTATTTATAAAAAAATATTTTATTCAAATACCTAAAAATAATTAATAAAACACATTAAACAACATTATATGATTAGTAATAAGGCATTTACTAACAGATCAAACAATTCCAAACACATATATTTAATTCGTCTATTTACACCGAAACGTGAACAAATTTCAAAAACAAATTTAACTAATTCTGACGAAAACGAATTGTAAATTAAAAAATCAGTAGTTAGATATTGCTTATGATGAAGCTTCATTTTATATCGTTTATACCATTCTTTCACATATAAATCTAACAAAATTTACATGTTAAATCTTTAACAATAAATAATAAAAATTGACATGTTTTTCAAAATTCTAAACATTTCTATTTTACCTTCAATATTTTCTTCCTTGATGTTTCCAAATGAATTAGCATACGAATTATCATGTAGTTTTAAACTCATTTTATAATATAATATAATTGCGGTGTTATTAACTATTTAATTATTAAATGTATACCCCTATAATTTGATTCGACAATTTAAGATTGTCAACAGTAGCTTTTATAGTGACAAATTAACGACTACAGTGGATATAGTGACCCATCTAAAATAGTAAGTTTTTATATTGTTCATCGAATCTTACAAAAATTTAAGTGTGACCCGCTTACACTTCGTTACATTACGAAACTCTTTAAACTGTACGGATTTACTTAATGTAAAGCATAAATATAAGTACTTTTAGAATAATTTATGTTCATTATATCAATAATGATTCTAACATCATTAAGTAATAGCTTGAGAATTATAATCAAAATTTAACAAATTGTTTAAAATGTCTCTTTAAGTAAGCCAAATTTAAAGTTTTGTCTCGGTATCAGTCATAGAAATTTTTGTGTGGGGAGGGAAGTTAACGAATTATTTTTGGAATCGTGATTTTTTTTTTATTAATATTTTTTTAGTCAGTACATTAAAATAAAATAAAAATTTCTTAAAAATAGACAAAAAATTGACGTATAAAATCATCTAAAAAGAGTAAATATATATGACTTATAATAAAATTTTTGAGTCAGCATTCTTGGTTAGGGGTGGTACCCCCTATAATAACTGCCACTAGTAAATATTCATAAAGGTTGATCTGAATCAGTTATCCCAAGTCCCTACTATATTGTGAACATATAGACTGAAAAAATATTTCACTCGAATTGAAATGAAATGAGGGAAATATTTTGGAAAGTTATTTATTATTTACAATATCAAAAACATTGACATAAAACAACAGATAGCTTAAAATTAGGCATAAATTAAGGGAGGCATGACCTACACTTCTACCCAACTGATAACTTTAAATAAGTCAAAGTTATATTATTATTATCTTTTTTTTATTACATGCTGTTTTTATTTGAGTTATAATATAAAATATTTTATAAAAAAGATTTCTTGGATTCTACAAAAAATTCTAAATAGGTATAAACTGCTTAAAACTATAAATTTATTTTATATGATAATTAAATGAATCCATAATACATATGTTATAAATAAATATTTTGGTAATTTGAAAAAATTAGAATTGTTTAAAATATACGACTTGTATGTTATTGTGTTCATACATATTAATAAATATAGGAAAATAAAATTTAATAAATATTAATTTATCTAATTAATAAACTATATAAAATTATTAAAAGCTTGATTGCAAAAAATTAATGAAAAAACTGTAAATACTTGACGAAAAATTGCAAAATGATTGTGAAAAAGTTTAGTAACTTATAAAAAATTGTATTTTAGTTATTAATACTACAATTTCATGATTTTAATTGTATGTTACTGTAGTTTTTTACAAATCTTAAAAAAAAAAACAGAAAAATATAGAGAAATTAGTTCTTCAAATAAAATTATTTGAGAAATTCAATTTAATTTCTTAGCTAATTAAATATATTTTTATATAACTAAATAACTTTTTTTTTATTAAAAGAGGGCGCTAGACATCTTAAGTTTCCACAGATTGGGCTTAAAAGAGGCACCAAATTAATATTGCCCGAGTCACTGAAACCTTTAATACACCATTTCCAAAATTATATTACTTGTACTAGTTGCTAGATTAACAATCTTATCCAAGGCAAATTAAAAGCTTATTTCCAGATACCATATTCAAATTTTCTAAAAGATATGTTTGATTATAGCTGTGTTGATTATTTAAAATTTAAGTATCACATATAAATTGTTTTTTTAAGACTAGTTTTTATTTAAAATATTTTTTAAAGTTTTACTTAACATAAAGGTTCATAAAAATATTACAAATTTAAATACTTTCATTAATTAAGTGATATTTTTAAAATTATTATCAGGGTAAACAAATTTTTCTTTTCAATAAAGAATAACAAAAAGAGTAAGTCATTTTTTGTTAAAACTCAATAGCAATTTGAATATGTCTGTTGAGCTACAAATAAAGTAGTTTATTTTAAATAATGTTCTGTCAAAAAATAGAGTTATCTTATTGTTGCAGCAAGATCTACATTGCCACTATTATTTTATGCCTCCTATATATTAGCTATATTATTGTTTCATTAACCAAAAAACAATAAAAGAAATTAAATTCAGTTCAAAGATTTGATATGCCAATTCAATAATTATTGTTACAATAAGACTAATAAGAAAATGAAAACTATGAAACATTAACAATATTTTTTTGATCAGTGTCCTCATCACTTTCTTCAAGAACTCGTCTAATTATATCACCATACAGATCTGAATCATGCATCGGATCTTCACTATTAATGCTACTTTGAGATACTTCAGAGTCTGAACTAAAATTGTTTGCATTAATTAAAAGTGAATTAGGTTCAATTTTAGGTTTCAAGAGATTATTTCTACTTTTATCTTGGTTTGTGATTTTTCCTCCTAAAAATTTTAATTTTTAGAATAAAATATAGTATTTATGCAAAATATAACAGAATTTACTTTTTTTTAACAACTTTGATTTTTTCTTAGTATTACAATTTGCTTGTAAAAGAGGTTTTGGTTCAGTTACAATTACCATATCTTCAAGTACATCTTCATTTTTTCCTGGAAATGCAACATTCTTTTTATTTTTGTACCGTCTCATTTTAGAATGTAAGTCTATGTCATCTTCTTTCAAAGCTGGAGTACTTTTTTTAGTATCATTGATTGCTTCAAGAGTTGATGTAAGTTCAGGTTGGTATTCATATATTCTTTTTGTACCTAAAGTCATATTTTCTAATTTCTTTACATAAAGTGATTCATCTTTCATTTGGCATTCCATTAGTTGTAGTTTATTAATATTATTCAATGGTACTCGATCTTCATAATGTATTTTTAAATAATTGTTAGCTATTCGTCCCATTAATTTACGAACAATTTTCCTTGGATAATTAGCCTATATAAAAATATAAAAATTATTATAAACAATAAGTTTAATAGAACAATATGTTTTACTTCTAAACATGGACTAGTAGTGTCAGCAGTAATTGTTATTTTTCTTTTCAGTTCAAGTTCATAAAAGCAATAAGCTGGATGTAATTCTCCTAAATCCATGTACTCATTGACTAGTTTTTTTGTTTCATTAAAATCATATGGGTCCATTTTAATATTTAACAAATATGGTTTTAAGGGTTGTGTTTTATATAATGTATATAATAAATAAAAAGCTCCAATTCGTGCTTTTTTAGATTTTGATCGTAAAAATTTTGCAGCTGCCGACATGGCATCTTGGGCCATCATGATATAATGATGCGGAGATACATAAAGATTTTTAATCTCTTTTTTAGGCTTTGCATAAATATAATGAAAATTAAAAGATTCAAAAACTTCTAAAAATGCCATAAATGTTAAATTTTGACCTTTTACAAAGTTGTCAATTAAGTTAAAGCAATCTATAAATAAATTTGAATAAAATAACCGTAGTTCCTTAACAACTTTAACAGTATTATCTATTTTTCTTTTAACTGCAATTATAGGAAAATCATCATCGTCACTGCTGTTTTCATTTCCACTAGATTCAGTAAATTCAAATTCCGACATTGTGATATATCAAAGATAATAAATTAAAAAAAACTAAAATATTTATTTTAATACATATGTGATAAAATTAAGTTTATAACGTTTAAGAAAATAAAATATAATTTAAAATTATAGTCTTAAAAAAGAAAGAGCTAAAAATCAGTCTATTAAAAATAGAATAATGGTTAAAATGCTGATAAATTAAAATATTATTATAAAATAGAATTATTCAACCAATTGAGCGCAGATTATATAAAGAATAAACAGCAAATCTTTGTAGAATCTTCAAAACCAAAAAATTCAAAACGCAATGGTGAAATCTTATCAGTACGCTTCCAGAAGATAATTTATGTTCATAGATATCGATAATAAACAGTCTATGGTTTATTATCTATATCTGTGTATATGTCTCAATTACATATCTGTAATCTTTTTATCATTTTCTATTTTCAATCTATGAATTTTTCTGTACATAGTGGTATTTTTTAAATAGTTATCAAATAAGAAATAATAAAGATGATTGATTATTTTAAAGATGCGCAATTGTTATCTTGTGACTAAGTGTATCTAATCGTGATCTAGTCTGTTCTTTTATGCATTAAATAAATTCATTTCCTTAGAATATTATTGATTATACCCCTTAATATTATGGTAGACAGGACAGGAAAACTTTCAAAGCCTGACGCAATATCATAGATACTTCAGTTTGGTATGTTTTCACAATGGAGCTCTATAAGTGACCTATATTTTTAAACTTGCAGTTAAACCCGACTGTGCTTTTTACAACAGCCAGTCAATTATCAATTATCAATTATAAATGAATAATACCAAGCATCTGTTTAATTCATTCATTTATTTTTATCATTTTTATTCATTAAATAATTAATATATTTATTTATTTAATTGATAAGTCTTATCCTTCCTATTATTATAGGAAACATAAATTTTAAGGACAACAAAATGTAAAACATTCATTATTAAACAATATATCGGGTTAATATAATTTTATAATAATCAAAAAATTACTGGTGTGAAAAACATAATTAATGAATATGAGCAATCTTTTTGACTTATAATTGATAACTTATTGCTTAATGAATGTTTAAAAGCAAATTAAAAAAATAAGAAATATGTGAACAGTTAAATTCACTTAATTATTTCAAGGTAAAAAATATTATATTTTAATATACATTTATTGACAATGAATATTGAATATCTTAACTATTGAATATTAACCACATAATATAATAAACTCTTGTTTAGATATTTTGTTAATATCCTCCATATTTTTCCTGTAAAATAATTTATATTATTATATTATTTTTGTTTAAACTTTAAATTTAAAGGAGAATTTTAAATATTATAAAAAATTACTTGAAAAGATGACATCACTCCATTAGCTAAAGATGATAACTTTCCTGCTACTCTAGTTACTCCTTGTTTTACACTTTCTTTTACTTCTTCTAAATCAGGTGCTTGATATGATGAATCTACATATGTTTCTTGTCTACCAAAAAGTTGAGCTGATGAGATGCTATTACTTCCTTCAAATCGAGATAAATTTGATTTCTCAGACTTAAACAAACAATTTTTTATATTAATACTGCTAAAATATTCTTTTTTTATGTTAAATACTTAAAAAATATAATAAATTACTCAACATAATTTTTTACATTATGAATTAAACAATGATATATTTGTTATATAAAATAGTTGATTTAAATAATAACCAACCAATGATTCTTGATTATTTCCAAAATATTGAGCAGATGAAATAGATTTAGCTCCTCCAAATTTCTTTACAGCTTCATTATTTTCAATTTGAGGGGGATTAATAACTTTATTTCTACTATATCTATTAGTTTTTCTTCCAGATGACTCAAAATTATCCCAACCATCATTTTCTAATTCTTTGGTATCTTTTTTTGCTGGCTTGACATTGTCCCAGTCATTTTTAATAACATCAATTTTTGGTGGAGTTGTAGTTGTTTTAACATTTCTTTTAAAATCATCAAAATCAAAAAAATTATCACTTGAAAAATGATGACTCCTGCAATATAATAATAATAAAATATTTTAAAAAGACAAACAAAAAAAAACCAAAAAGAACAAATGGAATTTTTTAAATTAAAACTAGCTAAAATAAGAATTTTTACATTAAAACTGAATTTTTTTAAACCTAATTTAAGTAAATTTGAAAAAAATAAACCAATTAATAGAAATATTTAGGCATAAACCTAACATTCAACTGTGTAGTCAAAATAGTAATATAGAATTTTAGTTGTACTGTCTCTACCTTCATTCCACAAATGACACAGACCACCCTTTACTTTTCAGAAAGTCAGAAATTTGTGAGAATAACGTACTTTAAAATATAACTAGTCTGATCAGAATATATGTCAACTTATAGAGATATTTTACCAAAATATCTATAGATAAAAGTAATCTATTTTATTAAAAATATATAAATGAACAATAGTATTCAATATAAAATAATGGATACTTTTGATAAATTTTAAAGTAAAAATTTGAAAAAACTAGTAATATTAGATTTATAGTAAAGTAGGTAAATATAAATGAAACGGGTAATTATAAATATATTTTTTATTTGAATATTTAACAGATTTTATTTTATACTTAAAAGTTTTGGTCCTTATATGTGATATTGTCATATTAGATGCAAGTTTGAAATAAAAACTTGTGTATTTATCTAAATAAATATATTTACAATTACCCCACTTTACCCTATTTATGTTTTAGAAAATGTTTGTATTATGCATGTAATTTGATTACCAAAGTTGCACAAATATGTATCACTATGCACCACTCTGTTTCATAAATGCACTGTCTATACTAGGGTGGCCCTCAAAAATCGAACTTTTTGCGAAATTTTGGAGTAACTGTTGTTCGCACTCCAAAATGATGGATCAATTTTCAAAAAATCAGTGTTCAGATTAAATAGTTGTAAATTTGATGGTAACTTACTACCAGTAATTTCGTGGGAATAATTACCAATAAGATAAATATTAGTTCGTAATACTTTAATGACGCTAAAAGTATTGTACATTTGTGATTAAAACGTATCATTTAATATATAATAATAAACAGGTATAATATATTTAACGTGTTCACAAATTGTCTGCTGCATTTATACGACACAAATTATCTCAGTTGTCGAAAATAACTCAAATATTCTTATCTTTAATAATAATATAATTGGTACCATCTTAATGTAATTCAGTAAACCAAAATTGATATATTGATACGACAAAATGTAATAATACAATCAATATTGTTAAATTTGTAATTAATCATTAATTAACTGTCCATAAAATAATAAATCTAACATAATTATCGTACTTGGCATAAAAAATTAAACTTCTAGAATCTTTTTTTAAACGAATATGCGTTTTCCAAAAAATAAAATGAAAATAAATAATTAAAAATCAACAAAATCAGTTATAACGTATTTTAAGACTTTCACATGTTTTTTACTGTATGTAGTGTTTTTGTGGGCTATTTATTGAGAAAACAACATTGAAGTTATTATTTTTGAATTTCTTGTAAAATTTCCTTTACTTGAGTTTTACTTTTATAATTCTAAGTTAAGAGAAAAAAAAGTTGCGAGACATAGATCAGTTATTTCTATTAAATTTGACTCTTCGACTCAACTTAATAGGCCCGGGGGCACGGGTTAACCTTAACGGATCGTTCCCAAATTTTGCACAGCTCATTTTTTTGACCATTAAAAAAAATTAAGGGATAGCGTAAAAAAAAAAAAGACATTCGATTTTTGAGGGTCACCCTAGTCTATACACATATACTTAAATATCTTGTGAATTACAATTACATTACATCATTTATTTTCCTACCAAATATGTTTATTTATATAAAAAAATTTATTTAAAATCTAACTTACTTGTTTATCATTTGTAGTACTTCAGCTTTGGCCTCTTCAAAACAATCATAAAATTTATCTTCATTAGTGATAGCATCCAATGTTGAGTTCTTAGTCTCTTCTTTGTCCAATGTTGTCATGTCATTTAATGCAGAATGGCTAACAATACTATAATAAAAGAGACAATGTAAACATTTTCTAAAAAAAATTTTTAATGTTCTATAATTGATAAAAAAAACATTAGTTATTTTAATATTTTTTCTTTCAAATAAGAGAAACTACTTTAAAACTTATTATACATCACTTACAAGCTTATTAGACAATAAATTACAATCCTACTACCTATTTCATATTATTTAAAAATATAAAATATACAAATTAGGCTATTATTCTAGTGAAGAAAGCACAAATCCAAATTGTTCAAAAAAATTGTATTAATTACAAAATATTGTTATATTTACATAAAAAATGTAAAGTATAGAAATATTTTTCAATATAGACTTTGAAAAGTTGGAAAATATGCTTCTCTTTAATAATATAGCAGAGTTAGAAAAAAACATTAATTTTCTACTATAAAAAGAAACTTAGATCAAAACTTATTTTAAATAATATACATATATATTTTTTTTAAATAAATGAAAACCTAAATTTTAATGAATATTTTGATATAAGTATCAAAATTCTGGAATATAGGCTCATTAAATGAGAATATCAATATAATATGGGTGTATTATTGAGCTTTAAAATAATTTATTATTAACATGAAATATTATAAGGCTGAATAATGTTATAATTTTTGAGTTTCCAGACTAGTTAAATTATGTTAATAATTAAATAGAGAGTAACTTCTGCTTTTAGCTTTGATGCGAAGCTGAGAAGGTATTAATTTTACTATTATATGTTTTTTTTTTGTGTCTGTTACCAATTTTTCTCAGCTCTCACCAAACTGATTTCTTTCAACGATATGTCAAAAGATCACAAATCGTATCTAGTGAAGACTTTACCCTAAAACATTGAAGGTAAACAACTCATCAATGGGAAACATATCCAAAAAAATTACAATTTTAGAAATCGGTAATTTTCCAGATTTTTTCAATTTTTTTTATAAATACCTTTGGTATTTACCTATTATTTTGTATTTTTTAAAAAATCTGACCCTTTACCAGCTGAGAGGAAGGGTTTCAAAATGGCAACTTTTTTACAAAAAATTATCTTTTTCAACTTAACTTTTAAAAATGTTCTGGAAAGACTGACACTTTTATATATACCTTATTTTAAAGTTTATGTAATATACTTTATTATAGAAAAAATAATTTTTGGACTTTATTTTGTCTTCATAGTGAAAATGGCTACCATATGGTGTTTTTATGTTAAAATTTTCGATTTTATATTTCAATAACTTTTTGAAAAATAAATGGATTATTATAATTTTTTTATGAGAAATACTATTTATATACTTCTTTTATGTGACATGCTTTTTTTTTTTAAATTGGATCATTTCCCTTTTTACAGAGAGAATTAAAAATTTAAAAATGCATATTGAAAAAAAAAATGGTAACACAGTGGAGTCACGGCACAGAAAAGACATTGAGATAGTTGGAACAAATATAGATGATATCTGACAGTAATTAAAATCACTATCATAAGAAACGCTTCGATGCANTATCTGACAGTGATTAAAATCACTATCATAAGAAACGCTTCGATGCAAATCTGTAGATAGTGTTTCATTTAGAGAAATTGGTGGATTATACCAAAAGCAACATCAACTCTTATTTCTTTGATTATATCCTAATTAGTAGTTCTTTGATTTTAAAATATAATATATGAATAAATACTAATTATAATTATTAAATTTAGTATGAAAATAAAAAAGTAAAAAAAATTTAATTTCTTATGTCTTATGACCTTTATTCTATGTCAATTAAATTATATAATATTCATGAAAGTCAATATATTCTCCTAATAAGATATTTTAAAATAAAATAAAATACAAAACCTAGAATTTTAATAGAAAAATAGCATATTTTTGAATACGGTAGCCATTTGCGCATAGAAGATAGGTCGTCGGGACAAATTTTTTTTTTTCATTTTATAGTACATAAAATAAGCTTTAATTTGATATATGTTTAAAGGACGCAGTATTTCCGGAACATTTTTAAAAGTTAAGTTGAAAAAGTTCTATTTTTTATACAATTTTTCAAGCTTTGAACGCCTCCTATATAAAGGGAAATTGTTCAATTTTAATAAAAAGTATGTCAAATGAANGGGGAAATTGTCCAATTTTAATAAAAAGTATGTCAAATGAAAGATGTACTTATAATGTATTTAGAAAAAAAAAATTTGTGCTGATAATTACATTTTTCGAAATGTTATAGAACTTTTAAGTTGAAAATTTAAAATCGAAAATTTTAACACAAAAATAGCGTTTTTTTAACTACGGCAGCCATTTACATGCAGAAGATAAAGTTTTGGGACAAATTTTTTTTTTTCATTTTGTAGTACATAAAATAAGCTTTAATTTGATATATGTTTAAAGGACGCAGTATTTCCGGAACATTTTCAAAAATTAAGTTGAAAAAGTTAGTTTTTGTAAAAAAGTTGCTATTTTAAATCCCCCCCAATGAGCAGGTTAAGTGTTAGATTTTCAAAAAAATGATATCAAATGAAAGGAAAATATCTAAGGTTTTATTATAAAAAGAAATTATGTTGTTTTGTTGATTTTTGAAAAAGTCATGGAAGTTTTAAGAAAAAAAAGTGAAAAAAATGACAAAATTTAGCGATTTTTAAATTTGTAATTTTTTTGGATATTTCCCCCATTTGCGGGAAACAAGGGAAAATTTTTCAATTTTTAAGGGTAATGTCTTCAACTAGATACGATTTGTGATCTTTTGACGTATTGTTGTAAGAAATCGGTCCAGTGAGAGTTAAGAAAAAGTGGCAACAGACATAAAAAAAAAAAAACACATCATAGTAAAATTAATACCTTCTCAGCTTCGCATCGAAGCTAATAAATTTAACCTTATGTTATATAATTTAATATGAAAAAATGAAAAATTTCGAACTTTATTTTGTTTTCATTGTGAAAACTGACATAAAAGTTAATAAAAAAATATAATTTTTCTAAAAAATTTTAATACCAAATTATTAAATATCTATTTTATACAATATTTAATTGCTTTATCAAATATTTATTCAAATATTACACTTATATATCATAACACTTGTAATTAGGATATAAATAAGGAAATAGGAGTTCATTTTGCTTTTGGAATGATCCTCCAATTTCTAAGAATTAAACACTTTCTACAGATTTGCATCAGTGTTTTTTATGATAGAGATTTTAATCACTGTCAGTTTAAATCTATACTAGACCGAACTATGCTACGTCCCTACAGTGTAGGGTTTTTTTTTAAATACAAAAATAAGCTAATAATTCTTTAATTCAGTTTAATAAATTTATTACTTTTTAGAAGTATAACCCATGCCAAGCCTTTCCAGTTGGGCGGCTTTTTTTGGATCAACTTGTTTTAATTTTTCTTCTTCTTTATTTTTTTTTATACTTAAATCTTCATAGGCCAATCTCATAGAGGATATCTATACATTAAAATAAGATAAATTTATATAAAAAAAAAAAAACAAATTTTAAGATTATACCTGGGTTTCTTGATTTTCACTATTTTTTTCTTCAGATTCAGTTTTTTTTGGATCATTAAATCTTAATTTATCTGCCATTTCTGCTTCTTTTTCGATTTCAGCAAAATTAGCATGAATTTTCTGTGCACCTAAGCCTAACCTTTTGCCACCCAGCTATTTATAAAAAATGAAATTAAAATAAGTTAGTTGCTTTAATATTTCATACATCTTTATACTTACACCAGATCTTTTACTATGAGCTTGACGACCACCTAATAACGATTTATGATCAACTGACTTTTGCTGAGAATCTGAAAGAATTTTTGGTTCATCAAAATTTGCTGTGCTATTTTCAGGCTGTAAATAAAAATATAAATATTTATCAATAATTATTTATTAAAATTGAAGGGAAGTTTTTAACTGTATCTTATGTGATATATTAGAAATTTAAGTCATTTATTGAACTCATTGATAAATATAACTGAGTAACTTTTTCTTAAAATTATATCAAACTCACAATCAATTAAATTGAAAATGGAAAAAAGCATTTAACTATTAAATATGTAAAAAATATTCAGGATAAAAATTTTTAATTTGTATAACAGAAGTATACAACTTAAAATATAATCTAGGTAATTTCTGGACTTATCTATAAATACAAAGTCTCTAAGTTCAATTGTTTGTTTTGTAGCTTTTCAAATTTTCTGTATTTTTTAGGTCATACATTGTATATGTATATATAATATGTGTTACCTTTAAATTAACATCTTTTGTAGAAGGAAATGGTGCAAACTTGTCATTTAGAGTATCATTAGAATTTAAAGATGTAACCTCAGATGTATGTTGTTCAAAAAAGTCAACAGTTTTTGACTCAACTGGTTCAAATATTTGTGATGAATCTAAAAATAACTAAAGAACAATTTTTTTTTATATATATAATAATTAAATACTTTAAGACATTCATTTTAGAAAAGTTAAAATGCAAATTAAATAATACAGTAAGACAATTAAATCTTTTAATACATACTTTAGTTCCATGTATTTTCATTGCTTGTTTAGCATTTTGAAATAGTTTATCTCTGTATAACTGAGCAGCTCGAGAGTTATACTTTTGTTGTGCATCTTTAGATGCACAATTATGCTGCCTAAAAAATGAAGTCTATAAAAAAGTTAATTTAATAAAATCACTTGATAAAAAATTCAAAATTATAGCAAAAACTCTTACAGCATTTACATTTCCACCTAATTGCATTTGCCGAAGTTGTAACCATGTCCAATTTGTATCTAATTGAGTGGATCTAACAAATGTTAAATGAACACCCATACTTCTATGAACAGCTGAACAATCTAAACAGATGAATACACCATAGGTGATACTAGACCATGTTGGATTTTTAGCATCACAGTCAAAACACGTCTGAAATTTAGTATTAAGTTTATGTTATTATTTATTTCTTAAATAGATGAAAAACTATAACATTTACAAATCAATAATATTAAAAGAATTTTGCAGAAAATCATTTTATAATTTGCTTAAGGTTTAATGAGAATATCAAGGTTAACAATTTAATAAACAATAACTAATTTTTAACTTAAATTCATCAAGAAACTTATAAGAAAAATTATCAATGTAAATTCTAATTTAATATTTTACAATAGTAATTTGAAGATTTAATTATAAATCAAAACAGAATAATCATTTATTATATAAAAAAATGTTCTTCTTTAAGAAAATCTCATCTAATTAAGATAATAGACATCAACAGTGTACATGAATAACAAAGATATAGTTATAAAAAATTTTTTAACATTGAAAATTTGAGTAAAATTACTATGAGTATGAAGTGTTACAAAAATGATTTGCATGCTTAGAATAATAGTCATTTTTAATTTTTATAAATCAGGTTATGATTTCTTATACAGTATCTTATGTCTATTTTATACATGAAATATGTAAAATCAAATTTAATTTTCCTACACAAATATACCGGACCAGATTAAGGAGGAGCAAACTAATGACAAATATTATTAGCCTGTCATAACAGATTCCTGTTTTTTTTAGCTCATTACTTTTTTATGGCAACAATATTTTCACAGATAAGGCTATCTCAAAGTACTGCCCAGGGATACATATAAGTCTTAGTCCGGCCTTGCAAATAAAAATAGTTTTTACCTTATTTCCAGGGAGTGCTCTTAAGCGTTGAAATACCAATTCAATATCTTCACTATTAACTTTAGCCTCAGCCATTTTGATTATAAAATATGAAAATTTTGAGAAAAATCTTCTAAAAAAAAAAAGATACCTAAAAACATAAAATATACTAATATTTAATAATGGCGTGAAAAAAAAAAAATTATAAAACTAATAAAATACACACCAATAAAAATTGAAGGTTTATTTCAATATTGCTCTTTTATGAATTTGACTCCTTATTTCGTGTAACATTTACATTGAACGAATATCTTGAAGTTTTTTTGATAAGATAAAATACATATGACGTTGACCATTATGATGTCATTGATAATAATAAAATATGATAACAATTATATAGAATAAAGGTAGTTATATCACAGAATAAATAAAATTTATGATACGTTTATACTGTATCCACTGATATAGATAGTAAACTAGATGTCTAAAGGCCTATAATGTCTGTGTTCGCTGGTAAAGCCAAGAAGATATCACTTTTTTTGAGGCCATACATTTTTTTCAAAAACTTAGTATAAAAATTTTTGTTATCCGAGCGAAAAAGTTGTTGATAACAAAAATTTTGGCTTCAGCAGTTAGCAATCTAGTTTATTATCGGTATCTATATCTAACAGTGCTTAACTGTAAATCGTATTAGAAATATTTAGGTTATTCTATTATTATTTTTTTTTTTAATGTTGAGCTCACGGTCATATCACAGAAAAAATGCTGAAAGTAATTTATTCATGTGGTCAGCCTGTTTCAATATCACCAACAAAATACTTTAATAGATAACAGTGCCCTTACCGGGTAGAGATTATTAAAGTATAAAATACCTAACGTTTCAGTACGAAAATGTAAAATACATTAATTACAAAAGTTCCAAAAGTTGAAATTATAAAGATGTTGTAAAAAATAAGATTCATCATGGTTTTGAAAAGGAAACTATCAAAATCAAACGAAAATTTGTACTTTTATTGTAATTTTAATTATTAAATGTATTTTCAATACATACCTACATACATTTTCAATTTTAGCAGGGGTGTTTGAGTTCCAAAAATAATTGTAAACTATACCTCAATAAGGTAATCAAGTCTAATTTTGTAAACCATTACTAACAACCCAGATAGTACTTTTAAAAATGGCATGTAGACATTTGTAGAATGTTTAATGCTGTTTAATTTTAAATAAATATTTTAACAGCATGCATCTTCTTTAATTTAAAAAAATAATGTAATAGAACGTTTTAGTTAAATGAATATTAATAATACCTCAGAGGCATTTACAACTAAATATTCATAAGAACTTTAATGTATTTATTTATTATTTTTAAGTATTTTAACAATTTTACATAATTTTTAAATACTAAATTAATCAAAATAAAAGTCCAGTTCATTACCTAAGAAATATTTTTTTTTTTTTAGGGAAATGTTTAAATTTTACAAAAATGTTTTTTTCTAAACATTTTTTAAGTTTGAGAATTTTAAATAATTATTTAAAGCCTTCAAATTTCAAATTAATGAATTATGGAACAATGCTAAAACTTTACAAGAAGAAAAACTTAATGAATCTCATACTTCCTTTTCAATATATAAATAAAAAATATTTTTGTCATTCATTCAAGGATGATAGTGACAGTGATAATGAAGATTTTGAGCACAAAAGAAATATTAAAGCAATTATATTACCAAATAATGATGATCTGCTAATTAATAAAATTTATGAAAGTAACTCTATACAAGATGTATTTGACTTGATTCATTCTAATAATGATTGTATTGATTGGAAAAGTATATCTATGGCTTTAGCGATGATAAGAGAGTTCCAAATTATATATTTCCGTGTATGCATGCTTGATAAAAATTTGAATACCTCTAAATCAACTTATACTGAAAATTTTGAAAATATACTATCTAATTTTGAGTTTTTAAATTTATTACAATTATTGGAAGAAAATTATGAATACATGAATGAACAATGTTTATCTTACTGTTTATTGTGTTTGCATAAATTAGGAGTTAACTCTCAGTTTCAAGTTAATCAAAAATTGTCTTTAAGACTAAAACATATGTTAATGTCTGCCAATATTGATGACTTAAATTCTAACATACTATCTAGATTTACTGTAGCCATTGTTAGCCGTCGAGATTTAACTAGTTTATATATGTTGAAAGATGTTTGGCCTTTAATATTAAAAAAACTAGGTAACTTTTTAAACTATTATACTGTGTTTTATTTTATTTTTTTAAGTTTTTTTTTTTTTTTAGATTCTTGTAGTTGTTATAATGATTTGAAGCATATTTCAATTTGTATGTATAATTTACCATGGTTTTTGAATAAAGACATAATGAATAATTATGAAAATAAATTAAACAAAATTGTGTTAAATGAATTAAATGATGATGGTAAAATAAAATGTATAATTAAGTCATTGAAACTTTTAAATAGTCCATACTGGTTAAATCAAAATATTAGTCTTATTCGAAATTTATTACTTAACTTATGTGGCTCGATCAAACACATATCTCTCTATGATCTAATTCAACTACAAATGGTAAGGTATAGTAAATAATGTTAAATAAAAAAATTTTTTATTTTATTATAAACTTGGCATATTTTTTCTTTAATTTTGAAATTGGGCTCTTTTTTTATCAAAACTTTTAAATTAACATTATATTTTAAAGTTACACTCAAACAAATGTTTCCCATATAAAATAAATATTTTAATTAAAAAAAAAAAATTGATAATACAATTTTTATTGTTAACAATGTCCATTTAATTTAATTTGTACAAGAAATAAATTAAGTTTGGTAATCATTTAAAATAAGAACTATATTAAAAATATTAATTTAAAACTAAAAATTACTAAAAATGTTTAATTCAAAAAGTCACAAAAAAATAACTTAAAGTTTAGTAACCATATTAATTAGTGGTTAATGAATAGTAATTTTTATAAAGTAGTGGTTTAATTTTTTGTAAAATATTTATTGCTTTGATTAAAAATATAAATTAATCAAAGACATATTGCTAGATAAAATCTTATATTTAGAAATCTAAAAAATGTTATTTAATAAGTTATATAAAAGCTGTAATGAAATTTTTTCTTTAAAAAGTAAATTAATTTAGTTCTGTTTTTTTTTTAATTCAACAAACTCTTAGGTTATTTTAAAGCAACTTGAGCCTTATGAATTATTTGAAGAAATTAACCAAGTGACATCTAATTGGTTATTGAAAGCTAATACTGATGCTGATATTACTTTGCATCAGTTATTGTCCTGCATTGTACCGTCTTCATCAATAATACCAAAAAAAAAAATTGAAGAATTATTAAGAAAACAATTTTTAATTGAAAAAAATGGCTTTTCACAAATTTCTATTGGCCCCTTATTTAATATTATCAGAAATTTAAAAACATCTGATCACAAAATTTATAATACATATTGGTCCAGTATTTTAAATTGGCTATACACTAGCAAACCTTCATTTCGAGAAAATCAAAAACTACTAAGAATATGCAACAGGTAATTCTAAAGATTTTACAATTGATATAGATCTTACTATTTTTCCTCAATATCTTTTATTTTCTAGGTACATGAATTTTAATAATAATATGGCTGGTACATTTAGACATTATAAATTTGAAAATCAAATGATAAAATGGCTATATGATGAATTGAATCATGGATTATCAATACATATTCCCTCTAAATTCAGCAAAATATTTTCATTTATTATTAGCTATCCAAATGAAAACATTGGGTACGAAATATCAGAAAAATATGTTGAAAATATTTTAAAAAATATTGATCAATATTCTATATATGATTGTTATATAATGAGCCGAGGCCTTCACAATGCACTTTTAAATAGAAAAAAAAAAACATCAAAATTTTTAGACCAATATGTTAGTAAAACTATTTCATTTTTTCTATGAATATCAGTATAATTTATCAATACAAATTTTACTAACATATATTTAAAAAAACATTAAAATTTAATTATTTTTTTTCATAACCTTAGATCAGATTAGGTAAAGCATTAAACAAGCAATCTAAAGTTTTACTCACTCAAAATAGCTTGAATATCAATCAAGTAAATGTTATGTTTCGAGGATATAACCATCGGTATAATATTGGAGACCCAGAGCTATTTTATAAAATAATTGATAAGTAATGAAAATTATTTTTTGTAATGAAAATATTTATGAATCATTTTAAAATATTTATTCTTCTCCTAAGATATAAATCTTTTACATTATCTGATTATTCTTCGCGTTCAGTGCGGGAGCTTATACATAATTTATCTATTGCTGATTGGTATGACGGTGAACTAATGAATTCTTGTGCAGATTACTGTCTTAGAAATCACAACTACCTTTTGGCAGAAAACGTTGAAAAATTGTTAACTCATTTTTTCATACAAGGTGTTAGCAGTGATAAATTTTCAGAATTTCTTCCTCATGCTAGTGGAATTATTAACAGGTACAAAAAATTTATAATTCATTATATCTAAGTATTTTCTTATATAATTTTTACAATATTATCATTAGCCTTAATGAAATACTTTCAGAGATAAACATAAAATGTCCGGATTGAATTTCATGAGGGCATCCTTAGCATTATGCTACTTCTATAGTTTACCTTCAACTATAACAGACTATTTATTTAGCGTTGAGTTTCTTGAAAGATTGGATGAAGAACTTAACCATTGTTATGCTAAAGTAACAACAATTAAAATTGATCTATTTTTATTAAATTAGTTGTGTGAATCAAACTGTGATTAGATTTTCTGGTGTTGAAATAAAATTTAACATAAGTAATTGTTATTTGTTTAATTTGTTAATTTTAGTTTTACTTTAAAATTAAAATTAATCTGGGTTGGTTTGGGTTTATTTTACTAAAATTTTGAATAATTAGTCATATTACATACAATATATTTTATAGAAAAGATATTCCGGGTATTGTCAAATGGACTAACTTAAAGTGGTGTTTAAACTTGAAATATTTAAATATCTATTATCATTTTAGTCATATAGATCTACAATACTATTAAAATGTTTAGAAGTATTGTTATAAAACAAAATATTTGATCATAAAAATGAAATGATGAAATTTTTAAAATATTTAATTGCTTTCAGTTTAACCACTTCCCCAAGTTAGTCCATTTGATGGTACCTGGCTTTCAAGTAAAAGCAGTGTACCTTTTTGTTAGTACTAAAGTTTTATCTGATATTCTGTTTGTACTGGAACATCTCCATTTTTTGGGGTATTATACTTATACAAACTAATATGGCACTGCTTGGCATGAAAATCTCTTATGTGCAAAAAATTAAAATTAAATTTTTTTGATATTCATAGATTCAGAAATATACTTTATCTAGTAATAGATATTTTATTTTTAGCACATATGATGTTTTTCACATCGAGCTACAATGTAATGTGAACCATTATTATATGGAAGTTTATCAAATAGTTTTTTTTTTTTTTTCTAAAAAAAAAGGTAACTATTATATGTGTTTATCGTTTGAGTGATTTTACTATGGTTAACCTTTTATTTATACTTTAATGTTTTTTTAATTCTTAATTTTGTTAATCTGTTTGTTAAACTTTTAGCTCTTTAAATTTTAATAACTTTTTGTTGCTGAATTAAACTAAAATTTTACACCCTGTTTTGGTTTTTATGCCATTACAGTATAACCTATGTAGTAATCATTAATTTAGAGAGCTGCTGTTTTTGTGTTAAAGGTTTATTTCTTGAAGATCTGTTAATAGTGTTCCTCCTTTATTAAACATTTTTATTGTTTATTCAAAAAAAAATTTTCAATAACAATATAAAAATATATATTTTATATATATATATAGCCCACCAAATCTTGAAAACTGTAATAAGTTTTGATCCAACAAACATTTTATGCTATTTATTTATTTGTTTTTTATATAATTTTTACAGTATTGGATTACGTTAAAAACATAAATAAAAAGTATTTCTTAATTTGTTTGAAATTTAAAAATAACCATTGTTAAGTTATTTTCTTTAAAAAAATATTTGATCCATTACAACTTTACATTGAACTCTTGTTGAGTAACAAGCATATTAATACATAAAGTGAGTGTATATCACTGGCAGAGTATGTATAAAATACGCATCAGTACAATCTATAGTCACCTGCACGACATTAAAATTGATTAAAAAAATTATTTAAAAAAAACGCTTCTATGTAATTTTGTAGGTAGTATTTAATTTTTAGAAGAATTTGTTGGATTTTTCTAAAAGCAACATGTACTCCTATCCTAATTCCTTATTTATATTCTAATCATAAGTTTTATGATATATAAGTATAATATAAGAATAAAAACTTCTTATAGTAATTAAATTTATTAAGTAATTGATATTCAATAATTTAGATTTGTAATTTTCATGAATAAATTTGAAAAAGTTATAAAGTATTAGCATATTTTGTCACCTCAACGGCTAGCATGGGTTTATAAATAAGTAATGTTATCTTATGTTATCTATGGAAGTTATCTTATATTGATTATTCTAACCTTCATTAGTCAATTATAATTTATTTATGAAATAAAAATTGTAATTTTTCATAAGCCATCAATAAATAAAACACATTTTTTTTTTTTTTGAAATGGTAGCCCTTCTCATTTTAGTACATTTATTAGATTGACATTTAAGACTAAAAACATTCTCCCTGAAATTATTTATAGCTAAGACATATCTTTATTATTTCTTATTTATTTTTATATTTTATAAAGAGGGAATTTGAATAGGGGTACTTAAATGCCCACTCCTGTATGACTATACCGCTAGACCTATAATATAAATGAAAATAATTTAAAAAAAGTTAAATAAATAATTATAACAACACCAGAATTTGTGATTTTTTACACCAAAATAACTAAAAATGATTTTTAAAAAAAGAATACCACAAAAAGTTTGCTGGATCAAAAGTTAATAATGATGTCAAAATATAGTGAGACATTATTTTTAATAGAATAACCATTGTTAACTAGAATGTTAGTATTAAATTAATTAGGTTGTCATTGAACAACCTACTTTACTGTATTTACTATTTCATTATATATAATTATAATTTAGGCTGTATATCCTTTAAAAGTTAGACACTTACTAATGGAATTAAATAGAGCTGTGTGTATTGATTATCCTGAGTTTGATGTGCCTTGGTTTCATACTAGATATTGTGAAGAATTACAGTCCTTAGGTAATTTTTTTGAAGTTAGTAATTGAATAATAGGATTATTATTTATGTCTTATTTTTAGTTTCGAAGAATATATCTCCTTTTTATTTGGATGTAGAAAAGAGAGTAAAAATTATATTTAAAAATAGTGATATAAAAACTAATTCATATTCGCCCTATGGTTATAAGTTAGATTTTGAAATAAACGATTTGTCCAAAAATAATGTATTTTTTGGGAAATGCGCCAAAGAAAAGTAATTATTTATCATTCAAATATATAATTTATTAACTTTTATAAATTTTATTTTTAGAATAGCTTTATTGTTGGTGTATGAAAAAGATTTACTTAAAGCTGAAAATGAATTAAGAGGTTATTTAAAAATGAAACAAAGACATTTAGAAATACTTGGTTATAGAATAATATGGATTCGTAAATCAGTATGGAATTCAATGTTCATGTCTGAACCAGATGCCAAAACTTCATACCTTAAAAGTTTGATTTGGCCTAAAAAATATTATTAAAACTCATTTTTAATTAAGTTACATTATTGATGAAAATTTTTTATTTTAACTAATGAACGGTTGATATATATTTCCATATATATGTATATTTTAAGATATAAGTAACAGAAAATTGAGTATTTTTTATTATTATATTATTATTCCATTATGTACTATAAATAAAAGAACTGTTAGAACTTAAATCAATAATTTGTCTATCTTTCTCAAATAAAAATGCCTTTACTAAAACATGAACAAAAATTATAAATCCAAAAAAATTTTAAATCACTCATCCATTCTAGTCGCACCTATGTTATTTTTGATATGTATTGTATTCGTATAAACACATAATTTATTCTTAATTGCATATTTAAATGTCTATTTTAGGATTACATACTTCTATTTCAGCTCCTGTTCTACAGAGATATTTAATTGTTATTTTAATCTTAATTCCTAAAGTCTAAACACCTTACTACCATCTACCCCATAATTGTGTTATAGCTTCAATACATAAGCATATAGTAATAGCCTGTGCAACAGCTCCTTTCCAATATAATACATAAAATGTGGTCTCTATTAATGGCTTAGATTAGTGCGGCTTATAGGGCTATAGCCCCTAAGCCTTATTGATAAATTATTACTATTAAGTATATATTTTTGGCAGTAGTAAAAATATTTGATAATCAAAAAAAAAAATGAATAGCTTTGAATGAACGTCTCATTAAATCAAATTTTGATTTAGTACAGTTTTCAATTGGTAAAAAATATTGAAAGGGCTCATAAAGTAAGCGAAAACTTTGCTAAAGCGAACAATATCAAATCTTGAATGCATTTATTGAGATAAAGACAAAATTCTTAATGAAAAATCCTTGCAGTTTGTCAAATTAATAGCGCTTCTTGGGAAGAAAAATGAACCACAAAGGAGAAATGCTACCAAGAAAGTTCAAAAGAAGAATTTTACACTAAAAGTCTAGTCAATATGGGGATATGAAAATGATGAGGAAGAAGAAAAATTCTCTTCAGAAAATCTCATAACCATTTTATACTACCCTTGATGGAGTGGTCAACCTTTAGGGGGAAGCACTTTAAATATTTTTTTAGCTTCGATGCAAAGCTGAGAAGGTATTAATTTTACCATGATGTGTTTATTTTTTTTTTTATTAGCTTCGATGCGAAGCTGAGAAGGTATTAATTTTACTATGATGTGTTTTATTAGCTTCGATGCGAAGCGGAGAAGGTATTAATTTTACTATGATGTGTTTGTTTTTTTTTTTTTTTTTTTTTTTTTTTTTTTTTTTTTTTTTTTTTTTTTTTTTTTTT